TATATATATATATATATATATATAAGTTATGTATCGGATACATAACTATATACCAAATTTATATTAATTTAAGTTTGAAACAATTGAGGTTATGTATTAACAATAACATAGACTTTGCTTGCTTGCTTTCACGCTTCCTTCGGTGATACTTAGTTAATTCTTTTATCTTTATGTTTTTGTACCAGCTATATTATACACAAAAAAATGTTATAACGCTATGATAAAGGTGGAGTAATGTATTCGGACTCTTATATAAGCCATTGTCCTATCAATCTCATATTATAATTACATAATTTTTCCCTATTTTTTTGGTCACCCACTTCGGCCCATGAACTGTAAGTCGGAGCATCAGTGCCTTGCCTTGGACGGCTTTTAAAAAACCCTAACGCATTTAAGTATAATTATCGGCACTGCAGGGAGGGAGAGGAAGATGGTGTCGTTGAAGCTACAGAAGCGGCTTGCTGCCAGCGTCCTCAAGTGTGGGAGGGGCAAGGTTTAGCTTGACCCCAATGAAGGCAACGAAATCTCCATGGCCAACTCTCGTACGTTCTTTTTTCTTTACTACCTTTTTATTTCTTCAGAATTATGTTTCAAATTTTACATCTTCCCACACTAGAAATTCGATCTTACACAAATTTATTCATTCAGGAGAAATGTTACAATTTTTTTGGAGTGTTGAAGTGAAATGGAGTATCATTCTCATGTATACTAGTTTGAGATTGAGGATTAGTTTTTTGAATCAAACTTCCCTGTTTTTCATATATGACCAAGGAATGGTTTACTGTCACTTGGTTGTTCAAGATACTAGACTTTGTTTAGAAGATATCTGACCTTTTTTTTAACAAGTGCAAAAAAGATACCGGTGTTAGTTTTTGGTGTTGTTATAATATGAATATGAATTGGAAATGTGGGTGATTGGTATTACATTATTTTCTTTATCAGTGAACTTAAATGATCTTAACATTTTGGAGTTCATAGAAAATATATGAACATATTGCTTTAATTACATTCCTAATTACAGTATGATATTAATGATATATTTCTCAGACTCTCTAAAAAAATTGGTTGCCTCTAATTCCCCTGTTATGCATTGAGTGCAGGGCAAAATATCAGAAAGTTGGTCAAGGATGGTTTCATCATTAGGAAACCCACCAAAATACACTCAAGATCTCGTGCCCGCAGAATGAAAGAAGCAAAGACGAAGGGCCGTCACTCTGGATATGGTAAGTCCTACTCTTTGAAACAACTGCTATCATATTGTATTTGGAGCATGCCTTTTATTTTGAGATACTACTTCTCTTCATAAGGTGGTTTATGTTTTAATCTTAAGCTTGCCTTGTGTTTTGACCAAATTAATTTGTTTATTGATAATTCATTTCAGAGAAATTGATATTGCCTGAGGAAATGTTAACCTTGCTTTAACAATGCCATTGCTCCTAATCTTATCTTTTAATGAAAATTTTGCTGCTGAAGTTTGTTTCGGTGACTCCTGATATTGAGGACTCTTTTCTTAGGTAAGCGCAAGGGTACTAGAGAGGCTAGGTTGCCCACAAAGGTGCTATGGATGAGGAGGATGAGAGTCCTTAGGCGCTTGCTTCGCAAGTACAGGGAGTCGAAGAAGATTGACAAGCACATGTATCATGACATGTACATGAAGGTGAAGGGTAATGTTTTCAAGAACAAGCGTGTGCTAATGGAAAACATTCACAAAACAAAGGCTGAAAAGGCTAGAGAGAAGACCTAGTCCGACCAATTTGAGGCCAGGAGGGCAAAGAACAAAGCAAGTAGGGAAAGAAAGTTTGCTAGGAGGGAGGAGCGTTTGGCTCAGGTAATAATTTGTAAATTTTGTTGGCGTTTTCTCACGTTTGAGAGGAGAGCTAGTTGTTTTTGCATGATTTTGTTTGTTAGTTGTAAACAAATTTGTCTTACGTAGAATTGACAGTGCATGGAGTTAAGCTTGTATTTCCTCCAATTCTCAGGGACCAGGGGAGAGGCCAGTACAACCTGCAGCAGCAGCAGCCACCCAAGCCCAGTCAGCCCAGTAAGTTCTCCACAAACATGCTATGTGTTTTCTCTTGGTGATTATTAGAACAAATTTAACAAGACTTGCCCTTGCAGGGGATCTAAGAAGTGAGGATGATGTGGTAAGGAGGGCTTGCTCTATATTTATTCCTTCTTTATTCAACTTTTAGAGAATATTAGAACCCTGATACGTTTTAAAATTTTGATACGTTTTTCTCATTGTAACCGAGCTTTTCCTTTTCAGTTATGCATTAACTTCGATTATTGTTCTCTGTCATTATTTTGTGATGCACCACCTACTACGTGAAATATTTCTTTTGGGGGTAAAATGTAGAAATGACAAAAGCATGATTTTGTATCTATGTCGGTCTTCTTTTCATAAATTCTGCTGCGTCCTATTCTATTGTCTTGGTCCATTTGACGAAACACTCTTTATTGTGGGGAGGCAACTAATTCTCACCTGAAGTGTCCAATTTAGAAAAAATCAAAGTACTCCTGAACAGTTGAAAATGTAAAAAGAGAAACCAATCGGATGCAACAGGATTTTTCAGAAGAAGTGGCAGTAACAATAAGAAAAAAATCATGATGGCCATAAAGGTAAAGTAACTTTAGTCACAAAACACTAGGGGATTTTATCTTTTTATTCTAGCCTTGGTGGGTACCATGGTTATAAAAAAAAAAAAAAAAAAAGATGAAGCGAGTTTAGGTATAATGTGTACTGGCCAGATCTCACGGACAGAGAGATGATATGCAAGTTGGTTTGCCGGTTTGCTAATTGACTTGTATTTGTTATACAGACAGCTGATATGACAAAATTCTTGTGTGACAATGCTGAAAGGGTTGTAATTTGTAACAAAACAGAAACATGATGCATATCCATTGCAATTTCAGCTTTTGCATCAAATCATCCGTATGAACATCTGTTATTTTGCAGCTTTGGTTCCACCCATGAACCGGTTGCATAAAGGGTTGCTACCTCTCTTGAAAACATTTTCAATAATCAGAAGTAGCAAAGTTTGAGTACATATGGTTACCAATGGGCAAAAGAAGGCAAATGAGAAGCAAGACCGCATGCACCTACTAAACACGTGAAAGTTGTTGGGTTCAACTTGTGTGGGGTCCAAATCCAAAATCAAGTTTTAAGTACTATTTTCTTTTGTTATTGTAACCCAGACCCACTTTTCACTAACCCAATCCAATTTGCAACTTCTTAGCTACCCGTTAAAGACCAGATTTATCACTTTATCTATTCCGGTCTTTGTTTCTATTCCAATCACAATAGAAAGATAAGACTTTGCAACTACTATTTGTAGAGTTAAAATAGAGACCTAGGCTGCAAAACAATAGGGACGTACTTTAAACAAGTTATCAGCTAGTTACCTTGCCAGCCACAAACTGACAAAAGGATAGAATTCGAACATTAACCTAAGTGTGTAAATAAAATTGCAAGAAGATAAGATAAGATCGATGGAGCAGAAGCTTTCTTCAGTAGCGAAAACGCTAACAAGTTCACCCATACAACAACTTTCTTATCTTGCCGAAAGACGCAATGCCGTCAACCTCGCCGAAGGTTTCCCTGATTTCCCTGCACCTTCCTACCTTAAAGACGCTGCCATTTCCGCTATCCGCTCTGACTTCAATCAGTACAGGCATGTTCAAGCAATATGTGATTACCTCGCTTATCAACTCAAACAAATGCATGGCCTAGATGTCGATCCCCTCACTGATATCGTCGTATGTTGTGGTCAATCTGAGGCTTTTGCTGCCGCAATGTTTGCAAGTAGCTTACAAACTGATCTCAATTAAGTACTTTGTTTTGTTTTTGAGAATCAAATCATATAATAATTACTGCTTTCATTTCTTAATTTGTCCAGTAATAAACCAGGGTGATGAAGTCATCTTATTCGATCCATCCTATGAAACATATGAAACATGCATTAGGTTGGCTGGCGGGGTCCCAGTAAGCCTTCATTTAGGTTATAAATTGTACATCCATCTATCTACCATTGATTGTATGTAACTTGTATTTCTCCATGCACAGGTGTATGTAGCACTTGATCCCCCTTATTGGAGTCTGGATCCAAATAAACTAGCAAAGTCATTTACTGCCAGGACAAAAGCTATTGTCCTCAACAGGTAAAAGTTTCTGATTCAACTCTGTACCTAATTCTTGTGGACTTCTGCTCTTTCTTCTACATTTTGCCACAGAAGCTGTTAGTCCTCCACTCATTCATTAGCTTAATTTGACAACAAGAAAAAACCTTCACATTTCCACAAAGCTAATGGGTTAACTTATGTACTAAAAGTTATCTGGATTAAACAATAGACACAAATGGTAGAGTTTTGCTTCAAATCACCTCAGGTTGACTCACTTGATTATTCAGATATCACACTACTATTGTTGTGCCAAAGATGCTTACATTCTCATTACTCATGTTCTGTTTCAGGAAATCATAAGCTTTTCGTTCTTTTAGTCGAACCAATAATTGACAAGGTTCAGTTTTGTAGTTGCATGTATAGTGTACAACATGCTAGACGAAGAAGATTTTAAACTGATGATCAATTTTACCATTGGATATGCTGCAGCCCTCACAATCCAACTGGAAAGGTTTTCACAAAGGATGAGCTTGAGATTATTGCTGGAGCTTGCCGGACCTGGGATATTCTAGTTGTAACAGATGAGGTTTGCTTCACTTTGACACATCTTGCGCTTTTCAAAGAAAACGGAAAGCAACGAAATAAGTATATTCAGTTCTTTTGTTCAACCTAATCTGAAGAATTCTTTAAGAAGTAACAAATAAGTATATTCAGTCCCTTGTTCAAGCTAATCTGCAGAATGAACTTTATATTTACTACTCCACCGTGAACCCCATAAGAAAAGAGAAGAAAAATAGAAAGAGAGATGCAATTTGCACTGCTAAAACTTTTCACTCCTAAAAAACTTCTGGTGAAGTATCAATAGAAGAACAATGTCTTATCTTGTTTGTTTGCCCTTTTTCCCTTAGTAGGCGTGTTTCTTCAACCCTCATACTTTGGATGGATGTTGCATGCGTCAACAGTGTTACTCCCTGGTTATAGACACATACAGAAGATATTATGTTAATTTATGGTTAACAAGTTTCTTGCTTTTTTCTCTTAATAAGGCAGCTTCACACTAGCAGAAGTGTTGAAGACATAATCAAATAAATCAGAAGTTTGCCCTTTCTAATAGCTAAAACATCTAATTACTTCATAAGGCAGGTTTGCGATTTGAGAAAGTGTTGAAGTCATAATCAAATAATCAGAAGTGTGCTCTCTCTAATAGCTAAAGCATCTAATTACTTCATAGGTATATGAACATATAACCTTTGATGGGGAGAGGCACACATCAGTTGCCACATTTCCAGGAATGCAGAAGCGGACCATCATCACATCTTCCTTGTCAAAAAGTTTTAGTGTGACTGGTAAGCATTTGATATCCTGCTTCCAATGCCAGCATGTTCAAGTCATTCCTACCTCTGTAAGTAGGTTGATTTATCAAATTCTTATTTATCTTCATGATTTCAGGTTGGAGGATTGGCTGGGCAATATGCCCAGCTTACTTTGCATCTGCAATCAGGAACATCCATGTTAAAATTACAGACTCTGCTCCTGCACCTTTCCAGGAAGCTGCCTTGACAGCTTTGAGAAGTTCCCCCGAGTACTTTGATGCATTGAGACAAGTAAATTTTCTCGCAATTAGTAGCTCTACTGGTGTTTCCTTTCCAACTTATTAGTTAATCTATCTTCACTTCTTTGGTGCTCAGGACTATAAATCAAAAAGAGATTACTTGGCTCAGGTGCTTACTAAAGTTGGTTTCCAGGTCTCCGTCATGCCTAAGGGTTCCTTTTTCCTATTCATGGAGCTTCCCCGGACATGCACACTTTCTGATGTAAATACTCTCAAAATATCTTTCTTCAATTATCATCTCAAGCATGAATATCTATTTTCCATAATAGAAATCCTTACATTAGGACTGTCCTATTTAATTGGTATCAGAAGGTTCAAAAGGGACGAAAAATCTTCTTTTTACTTTCTTTCTTTTTAACCCGGGGGAGAGGGGGTTGTTGGAGGAAGAGAAGGAAGGATGATAGGATTTAACTTTGTTAGGATCAGGAACTTAGCTCAACCAAGAAATGCTACTTGAAATTTGATTCACTTAAGAGGACCTTAATGTTTACTTGTTACAAAATTGTCGGAGTTTGGATTAAAGTGTATTTGACTCCAAAATATCAGTTTATTACCTCAACTGTGCTTGTGTGTTGAGATAATTTGAAGAAACAATACATGGTCTTGTATGATGATTCTACTTTTCGGAGATTTTTATCTTTTAGAGAACTGGAGAAAGGTGTTAGTACACTATACCCAACGTAAGGTGTTAGTTAGTATACTATACCCTTCTCAGGTGGGGTAAGGTGTTAGTACACTATAACCCAAGGTAAGGTGTTAGTACAATATACCCAATTCCACCTGGGTTTGTTGTTGTTACTTTTCCATTCCAACCAACCTGAAGTAGGGTTTATATTAGTTGATCATCAAGGTTTAGAAACTTATTTGAAAGTATAGAACTTCAAGGAGACACATACATTGAGTGAGAGAACTGCTGGTTGTGCCAGCAATAGGTTCAGTTTTTTGGATTATGTTTTATACGGCCTGTAAGAACTTGACAAAGCTTGTTATTTAGCGTGCTTTTATATGTTTAAATGGTGGAAGTGATAAACTTCAGGTTGACTTTGTGGAGGAATTGATTAAACAAGCTGGGGTGGTTGCTGTACCAGGCTGTGTATTCTTCCACACCAATTCCTCAAAACTAGAGGACCTTTCTCTGATGGCTATTAGCTACCACAGAAGATATATCAGGTTTGCGTTCTGCAAAAGTGAGGAAACATTAGCTGCTGCTTCACAAAAGTTAACCGAGCTCATCGATGGTTCAGGGGGACTAAAGCTATTTTAATTAAATTGGCTTGTTTGGATTAGCCTTTCCAATCCACGTCCATGAGAAGTGGGAGCTTCAAGTTGGTTAGAGGCAACAATAGAATTAAGATGGATCTGTTTATTCTTTGTCCCCACCCTGCAATGACGTTGATAAAAGTAAGTTTCATGAAAAGAAAATCAATTCATTTTCTCGACTTGTAGTTTTTACCAAATGAAGAAAGTTATATGACTCGAAAAAGTAAGTTGAATATTTATGCATGCTATATCAAACGTGGATGAAAAGTTTTGCCTTCGAATGAACCCAACTACACAGTTGTACTTGTCTAAACTAGAATCGTTTCGTTTCCATGTTATGAGACGAACAACATTTAAGTGAAGAAAGGCATTGCAGGGTTTTTGAAAACATAAGCTCGGTGTATGATATTAAAAAATCCAGATATGTTTTCTAAGGACTAAGAGCCCGTTAAATGGCTTACTTTTAAAAAGAGTTCGGGATAAAAGGGTAAAAATATTGAGCAAAAATTTCAAAAGGCAACATTTAAATAAGTTTGATTTTTTATCGGATCATAAAAACCCACTTTCTGAAGATCTTTTCCTTCTCTTCGGGATCGAACATCAATTGCAATGATTCGATAGACGGCTCATTGGGATAGATGTAGATGAACAACCCCCCCCCCCCTAGAAACGTATAGGAAGCTTTCTCCTCGTACGGCTCGAGAAAAATGATTGATTCGAAGTTTTGTCTCTGTATGGAATTCTATCTAAGAAATGACAACTGGATCCATAAAATGATCAAAGCAATTAAAGATCTAAGTCTTTTTTTCTTCGTTCTTCCTTAAAATGAAAAAGAAACCATTCATACTCTCATAACTCAAGTTGGATAACTTTCAAACAGTTCAAAGGAAAATCTTTCGGCACTTGTTTTTTATTGAACTTAACTTGGCATTAATTTTTTTTTTATTAAGCTCGTGCACAGAACTTTTCACGCTATAAGTAGATGCATATATTCAATTTGTTCAACAGATAAGTGTGGGTAGCGGCGTATTGTTGGATGGTTTTTCTTTTTAGTATTTATTTCATTCTTTTTTGTAATTTATGTAAAACATACATACCCAAATATAATCTCTCTCTATATATATACAAAGGTTATATATAATGACATTTAACTTTTTGATCTTACTAAAAATATGCAGAAGCATCTTATAAAAAATACTATATATATGTTAAAAGTATCGAGAAAAACTTAGTTGGGCATAAAAGAAGGCAGAGTCATTAGTAATCCATTGTTTGGTATACTTTTTAATGTTATGTATAACTAGTGCTTGTATTAGTTATACACTCTATTGTGTATTCAGGAGTGTAGTATTGATACCATGGATTTCTAGGTATTAGTAATGCAAAGAGATTTAATACATGCAGGGGCGGCTCAACGTAATCGAAGGCCTAAAACGAAATTTCAATTGAAGGCCTAAAATCTAAACATTCATATGTGTTTATTTAAAATTTATCTTTCTTACACTTTCCAAATGCAAATTATTACGTAGTATTTTTTTATAAAGATATGATTTTATCAATTTAACATTGAAATTTTTTACTTCACTAAGACAATCATTATATGAATTATAACATATTATATAAGTAATAAGTTGACAAATTTTAAATAAAAATAAGAGTTAGAACATAATGGGGTCAAAGATAATAAAGTAATATAATTTTTTTTAATACTTTTTAAATAATCATTTTTATAATTAAAAAAATTAACACATACTTTATTCTTGGTAAAATTTGAGGGGCCCTAAAATTGGGGGCCTAAGGCATATGCCTTAATTATCAAAGCATAGAGCCCGCACTGAATACATTATCATGGTTAAAGATTCAATTACTCCTCAAAAACACTTTTATATCTTTTCCACTATATTGCGGATGATATTTTTGTAAATAAATATTTTTATACAATTCCTACTATTTTTAATACAACAAACCAAACAATACATAAGAAATAATCTATACATAACTAATGCAATCATAACTAATACAAGCATTACTAATACACTCTACCAAACGACTCCGATATCATGCATGCAAATTGCAATGGTCAACATACAACATTATAAGGACAAGGACATGGTTTTTTTTAAAGGTTAGGCATATGTCGCACCTTACTACATGTGGTAATGTTGCCTTTTTGGTTTAAACCTTATTTTTTGTTGTCCTTTTGGAGTTTTTGCTCTTTTTATTTTTTGCCCTTTTGACTCTGAACTCCTTTTAACAATATAGCTTTTAAAAAATAGTTTTTTAAAAAATAGTAGTTTTTAGAGAGTCAAACTTAAGTAACTTTTAAGATAAAAAATGTAAAGTAGGGAGTACCTAATTTTAACTTGGGAAAAAGCTCAAATATGCTATCAAACTTTTAGAAAAGGCTCATTTATGTCGTTCGTTAAAAAATTGGCTCATCTATGTCATTGTTGTTAAAGAAAAGGCTCATTCATGACATTTTTTAACTCCGATTTTGCAAAATCATTTTTTACACCTCAAACAACTTTTAACACTTTTCAATGGAGTTTTTTTGATCAAATATACTCTTTATGCTTCTTCTTTCTTAAGAACACCAAGGACACATAAAGAACATTAACGATTCCCAAATTTTAAACTTCTTTAATTCTTCACGAAATCACTTCAAATTTCAACAATAGTTTTCCTCTGATCTAGATACCAAAATTCAACATATTGTTGAGTTCGAATTCAGCCTAACTCACAAGACCCACTTGAAATTTCTTCAAAGTTTCAAAATTTCAACATTCTTGGGAGAATTTTATCCACAACTTCAAATCATTTGAAATTTTAAACATAAACTCAAAAACACTAAAGAACAAATATCTAATGTCAAAAATAAATACAAAATACGAATCAAAGCAAATTTTTGAAAATTCTTAGAAGATAAAAAATAATACATTTGATCCAAAAACTTCAATTTAAAAGTGTTAAACTTTTTCTTCTTTGATAAGATTATATAAAGAATTGAGATAATTTTAGAAGTTTTATAACTTATGAGATTTTTATAATTATTATTATGAAAAAACATATAATAGAAAAAATTTAAAATTATATATTCAAATAAAACTTCAATTTGATTTCATGATTTCATATGACATGGCCAAACAACCCCTTATTCGGCTACATGAACATTTTTAACCACTCTCCATTTCTTTTGAAAGAAAAAAAATAAGTATAATGTCGGAAGTTGCACTTGCACGAAAATCAGTCGACGGTGGAATAGTCAACTAACTTTAGCTGAGTATTTGACAGCGTGAGGGATGTCGTCGCTTACGGTGGTCACAGATTCCGGCGAACGAGCTCCGCTTCTTTGTATTTCTTCGCCAGAATTGTCGCACTCGCACCCTAGGGATGGAGAAATAGTCTCTTCGTCCTTGGACGAGATTGCCGTATCAAAACCTACGCTCAGTGATCCCAAACAGCGTTTAGTCTCTCTCGATGTCTTTAGAGGCCTTACCATCGCTGTATGCTTCCTCTGAATTTTCTCTTTCCGATGGCGATGTACTGAGCCGGCCATTTCTAAAGTTTTATTTTATTTTTCGCTGTTTAACCCTCTATGATGATTGATGAAGCCCCTGATCACAGCTTTTCCTGCAAAGCACTATGTCAAAATTATTGGAAGAGAAGAAAACACACCCTTGTACTTTTTTGTGATTTTGCCTGAATTGTGCTTATTTGCACAAACACCACCTAATCAACCAAATCGAATGTTAGAAATTCAATTCTGCAATTTCAATCTACTCTTTGTAGCTGAAAATATCTTCTTGATACTCTTAACTCTTCACCTTTCTCTTCACTAGTGCCTTTTATTTTCGAAGTCAAAGTAATACGGATGATAGGTGCAACCTTTTCTATTGCTAATGCAAAATGCAATTTTTGCGGTTATGTCCAGGAGGGTAGTGGTAGAACTTAACGAAAGATGGGGAATTGAAAATTTCTAACGTGTCTGTTTCTGATTCTAGCATCTATTATAGACTTGTCCTTTCTTTTGATCTTCTTTGTTAAATGATGTGTCTTGAGCGATTTCATGTGCTTTTTTCTCTTTGTTGTTTTACTTACTTTAATCTCCCTCCTTCTCACCTTAGTTTTCTTTATGTGGTTTGTTTGACAGTTAATGATTTTGGTTGATGATGCTGGAAAGGCTTTCCCGTCCATAAATCACTCTCCATGGTTTGGAGTGACCCTTGCTGACTTTGTGATGCCATTTTTCCTCTTTATCGTTGGTGTTTCTGCAAGTTTAGTATTCAAGGTACCATTCATGATCAGTCCTATTCATGATGCTCTTTGTTAGGTAATCCAATTTTTTACGATTCCAACAGTGATGAGACAATCTATTGTTGATGCAGAAAGTTTCCTGCAAACCACAAGCTACAAAGAAGGTCTTACTGAGGACAGTTAAGCTCTTTATTTTGGGAGTAGTCCTTCAAGGTATGACATTTTCTAAGCACCTCACAACCCAAGAGAGAGACTAAAAGAGGAAAAAATAAGAAGATCTTGACCCACAATTATTATTTGCCAAAATGCGTTGTGTACGTAGAAGAGAAATAACTATGTTCAACTTATGCTCTGCCTTCATTTTCTACTTATCAACAACAACATACCCAGTATAATCTCTCAAGCAAGGTCAAGGGAGAGTAGCCCTACCTAGAGAGTAGAGAGGTTGTTTTATCCTCGGCTCAAGGAAAGCCAGATCAAAAAAGATATAACAGAAGTGAAGAATTCATTGAAAATACTATAGAAAGCATGACAATGCATTCTTGAAAAAAAATAGCAACTACAATAAAATAGTGTGATAATCGATGTACAAGAGATAGTAGATAGTAACAAAATTGAAGGACAAGAAACTACAAGAGAAATACAACGACCACTAGTATGGAAGGATAAGCAAGACAACACTCTATTATTTACTAACTTTCTACCCTAATCTGTGTCTTCTACAACCTCTTATCTAAGGTCATGTCATCAATATGCTGCAACTGCGTCATGTCCTGTCTAACCACCTCTCTTCAATACTTTTTTGGCCTATCGCCTACCTCTACCTCTCCTGAAGCTATCCATAATCAACCTCTCACACCTCCGCACGGAGGCATCCATGCATATGCTCTTCACATGCCCTGACCATCTCAGTTAAACTTCATCATTTGTGTGATGAAATGCTAGATCCGATGGAATCAATATGGAAGTCAACACGTAGAGCAAAACATCAACTGCTGGTATTGAAGAAGTAAAGATTAATTATGCAAGGATAAGAAAATATCTAATCCTACTTATGATATATATATATATATTTATAAAACCAACTAACTAACTGCTTAAGTGAGATCTAACTGACTAATATCCTCATAGTTCACTGTATTTACAAGTATGCCACTGTCTTCCACATTATCATTTCAACACCCCTTCAAGCTAGTTGGTGGGAAAACATTCAAAACACCTAGCTTGGATAATCAATGAAAATGTTGAACTCCTCCAAGTCCCTTTGTCAACAAATCTGCCTCTTGCTCAGTTGTTGGAACATACTCTGGATGAACTAGACCCTGCGGCACTTCTCCCTTATAAAATGACAATCTCTATGTGTTTTGTTCTTTCATGAAACACAAGGTTGTTTGCTATCTGCATTGCTGCCTAACTGTCTGTGAGCAACTGAATTGGTGTAGGAACGCTAACTCCAGATACTTGAATAATACCAATAGCCAGATAAATTCTGATACTATTAATACCATGCTTCTATAGTCGGATTCGACTGAGCTTTTTGCCACTGTGTTATGCTTCTTTGACTTCCATTATATTAAAGATCCACCAAACTTCACAAGGTATCCTATCACTTATTTCCTTGAATCTTGGCAGCTTGCTAATCAATATCACAATATGTTGTCAAGGAAGGATCACCTCCTGAAGTTAATAGTCCCAAGTTTATGCTCATTTTTGACATACTTCACCACTCTGTAAGCTGCCTCCAAATAAGACTTCTTTGGCGTCTGCATGAACTAACTCAAGGTCTGAACACTATAGGCTATATCTGGCCTAGTCAGTGTTAAGTAGAGCAGTTTTCCTATCATCTTCTAGTATCCCTTTACATCACTCAATGCTGGATCTTCCCTCATTCCATAATGCTGATCATACTCCAAGCACCAAGCTTGTGAGTTATTGATTCTGTTCCAGTGGTTACAATGCAGGTTTAGATCCTGCCAAGCCTAGCTTAGCTATAAGCTCTGAAGCATATTTTCTTTGGTACAATAGAATCCTCTTCTGGGATTTACACACCTTAAATGCCCAAGAAGTACTTCAAAGTAGCAAGATCCTTGATCTTGAAGGCTTTGTGTAGTTTTTTTCTTGGCCTCTTGCAAAAAAAGCACTGTAAACATCCCTTTGATATAGACTCCAGTTAGGCATAGCAGCGAAGGCGATGACAGCCGTAACTGCCACCATCTTAACAACAAGAGAAAAAGTCTCCTAATAGTCCAACCCCTCCTGTTGGCTATACCCTTTCGCCACAAGCCTTGTGTTGAATCTTTCCACCTCATCAATAGACTTATATTTGATCTTATATACCCATTTGCAATCAATGGAAATCTTTCCTTTGGGCACATCAACCACCTCCCAAGTCTTGTTCTAAACCAAAGTATCTATCTTAGACTGCATGGCAACTGTGAGAAATAAATGAGAAAAAATATAATTGAATTGTGTATCTAAATTGTTACATTGAGACCCTATTTATAGACAATACATTGGAATCCTTTTCCAACTAGGATTCGTATTCCTATTCTTATTCCTATTCCTATTCCTATTCCTATTCTAAGTAGGAATGTATATACTTATTTCTATTCTAACACTCCCTCTCAAGCTGGTGCATACAAATCATATGTACCTAGTTTGTTACAAATGTAATTAATACGCGGACCTGTGAGGGACTTGGTGAAGATATCTGCAAGCTGATCGTTTGACTTCACAAATTTCGTAACAATATCTCTTGAGAGTATCTTTTCTCTGACAAAGTGATAGTCAATCTCAATGTGCTTAGTCCTTTCATGGAACACTGGATTTGATGCGATATGAAGAGCCGCTTGATTATCACACACAAGTTCCATCGGATCAGTTTCGCCAAATTTTAGTTCTCCCAGCAACTGTTTGATCCAAACTAGCTCACAAGTTGCTACCGCGATTGCTCGATATTCTGATTCTGCACTGGATCGAGCAACCACATTCTGTTTCTTACTCTTCCACGACACCAAATTACCTCCTACTAAAACACAATATCCGGATGTCGAACGTCTGTTAGAGGGTGATCCCGCCCAATTAACGTTTGTATATCCAATGATATGCTCATGGCCTTGATCCTGAAAGAGTAGTCCTTTACCGGGAGCTGACTTTATATATCGCAGAATACGAACAACTGCTTCCCAATGACTATCACAAGGGAATCATAAACTGACTTACAACACTCACAGGAAAAGAGATATCAGGTCTAGTCACTGTGAGATAATTCAACTTTCCAACGAGCCGTCTATACCTTTTAGGATTACTAAGTGGCTCCCCCTGTCTTGGAAGGAGTTTAACATTCGGATCCATAGGAGTGTCAATAGGTCTACATCCCATCATTCTTGTCTCCTCAAGAATGTCTAAGGCATACTTGCGTTGAGAAGTAACAATACCTGATCTAGACTGAGCAACCTCAATACCTAGAAAATACTTCAATCTGCCAAGGTCTTTAGTCTGGAAGTGCTTAAAGAGATGTTGCTTCAAATCGGTGATACCATCTTGATCATTACCCGTGATAACAATATCATCAACATAAACAACCAAATAGATACACCGATTTGGTGCAGAAAACCAGGTGGTTGCTCCATATGGACTTCTTCCTCAAGATCACCATGCAGAAATACATTCTTAATATCCAACTGATGAAGAGGCCAATGACGAACGACAACCATAGATAGAAAAAGACGGACATAATGCTATTTGGCCACAGGAGCGAAAGTGTCACTATAATCTAGCCCAAATATCTGAGTATACCCTTTGGCAACAAGGCGAGCCTTAAGTCGATCAACCTGACCGTCTGGACCAATTTTGACGGCATAAACCCAACGACAACCAACAATAGATTTACTTGCAGGAAGGGAGACAAGCTCCCAAGTACCACTCTTATACAAAACAAACATCTCATCAACCATAGTCTGCCTCCATCCAAAATGAGAAAGTGCTTCACCTGTAGTCTTAGGAATGGAAATAGAGGACAAAGACGACACAAAGGCATAATGGGGTGATGACAGACGATGATAACTCAAGAAGGTATAATGTGGGTTAGTATTTCGAGTGTATCGTATACCTTTTTGAAGTGCAAGCAGTTGGCTAGGAGGAGGCAAGTCCACAGTAGGGGGAGAAGATTGGAACATGACATGAATCACAAGGCCTTTACTATCTTACCTCTTCAAATTCCTTAATAGCATGCTCTGTCTAATTCACAAACGTTTGGGACATCCAAGTCTATCCAAACTGCAAAAGATGGTGCCTTGTTTGTCTAGTTTATCCACGTTAGATTGTGAGTTGTGTCAACTTGGGAAACACACTCGTGCTACATTTTCACGTAGTAGTGAGGGTCGTTTAGAGTCTATTTTTTCATTAATTCACTCTGATATTTGGGGTCCTAGTAGTGTCAGTTCCACCTTAGGATTTCATTATTTTGTTAGTTTCATTGATGATTATTCAAGATGTACTTGGGTTTTCTTAATGAAAGATTGTTTTGAGTTATTTTCTATATTCAAAAGTTTCTTTGCTGAAATACAAAATCAGTTTGGTGTTTCTATTCTAACAGCAACAACCCACCTGGGATCAGCCATAGCCTTATCATAGGATTTGGGCTCTAGTTCAGTTGAAATAGCACTCACATAAGCCTGAAAGCTTGCTGAGAGTGAACCCTACCTGAAGATAATTTGATAATGCGTAGGAGCAAGCAGACTTGGCTGAGCCAGGATAGATGATGTCAGATCCAAGCTGTGGAGGCTTGGGATCTCTTGTAGACTTCCTCAACTGAGGTGCTGCAGCAGGAATAGGAGCTGTAGCCTCAACTGGCACATGAATAGGATCTGCAGCAGGCAAAACAATGTCAACTAGCAAGTCAGAACTGACATCAACTAGAAGAGCCAAGTTATGAGCAACAACACCCACTACTAGGAGCAGGAGCGGATTTACGTTGAACCAGATGAACCCCCTTCGTCGAAAAATTACACTATATATATAAAGATTAAAATATTAATTTACGTGTATATATATACTATTGAACCCCCTGAACAAACACCAAAGGCGTAGCTCAGTGGCATTGGGGGTTCAGGAATTCGCTCCACTGCACGCGAGGTTGCGTGTTCGAATCCGGGCAGATGCATTTTTTTATCAGCTTATATTTTAGGCGTTTTAATTTTTTTTTAAAAATAATAATGCAATCAGAAAACGATGTTTAGTTCCAAAAAATTAAAACGCTGATTGGGAATTTAGGATTTATTAGTTTAACCCTTATTTACAAAGTCAAATATTAAAAAACCCTTTTCTTCTTGATTCGATTAGTTTAATCCGACCCGTTTATATCCGACTCGACCCGTTTATTTGTGGATATTATTTACGTGATTAATTTTTTTTGACCCCCCTTGATGAAAATCCTCCCTCCGCCACTGACTAGGAGATCAATATCAGGAGCAGCTGACTCCTCAGGGTGACCTTGCTGCTGAAGAAGCACAGTATCAAGACTGTCCTTTAATTTCAGGAATAAAAAGGATTGTGTTAGGGATGCATTGGAAGTCATTAATTTAAGTATTTAATTATATTTTTAGTTGCTTTATTTATTATTCTAGAATAAGGTTTAGTTTCAGAGTTTCATAAAGATTATGTTAAGTGATAGTTATTAGTTTGGAATAGGATTTAGGTCTCCTACTTTCATAAGAATTAGACTTCCTATTGATGTAATAAGACTCCTATTTAAAGGGGCTTTTGATGAATAAATCAGTAAGTCATAATTAAGCAAAAAGCAAGAGATCGGAGTTCTCTCTTCCATTGAACTCTAAGGTTTCAGTATCCTTTTGAAGAGCTGAAGAGATCGGAGTTCTCTCTTTTAATGAATTCTAAGGTTTCAGCCTCCCTTTAACGAGCTGATTTATATATCACCCTGTGAATCGATCCTTCCCTAAAGATTCATAATAGATTGTTGTTAGCTTGCTTCACCTGCTGAAAAGGGTAAATGTGCTCTCTAAAAGTAACATCTCTGCTAACAAATAGCTTCCTAGCCTTGAACTTTGCTAACAAATAACTTCCTAGCCTTGAACTTATACAATTTGTAAGCCTTCTGAGATGTGAAATAGCCTATATGAACTGCAACAACTATTCTAGGTGAGAACTTGTCCACATTGTTTAGAATGGTCGCAAAGACAAACAACCATCTCCCTTAGATGAGACATACATGGACTACACTTGTGAAAGAACTCATTGGGGAATTCTCCACCTAGAACAACAGAGGGCAATCTATTGATCAAATAGATTGCTGAAAGCATACATTGTTCACAAAAATGCAATGGTATAGTCCCCTGAAACCTCACGGCACAATTTAAAGCACACGTCAAACGACTGACATATGCAAGATTAAAAGGACAACTAGGGTCATAAAGACCAGTTAGAGAGATAAAAGGATAGGGGATTAGCTCGAAAATTCTTTTTGGTTTTGTTTGGATCCCATTAGCTAAAGTAATAACATGAAGAGACTGTGAATAAACAATATATGACAAAAGTAATTTATTACCAGAAATATGATAAATAGTACCTGTGTCCATGACTCACGGTCCAAGGGTACTAGACTGTGAAACACAAGCAAAGGAATTACCTATAACAAAAGTATCAGGCTAAACAATCGAGGCTACTTATGGAGATGTTTGCTTATTTGCTCGACACGGAAGGAACTCATTATATTCCGCTTCAAATAAAGAAAATCCTTGATTACCTGCAGTGTTAGTCTAAGCAATTTGAGCATCCTTGGGTGGTCGACCATACAAGGAATAACATACATCACAAGTGTGTCCAAGCCTATTACAGTGACTACACTCGGGTCGAGATTTTCTAAAATGACCTCCTCCTTGTTAATTCTCCATAAATTGAGATGTTCGATTTTTTGTGATTTGAGATGGGAGAACATAGTAGTCAACAGTTGGTGATGAGACCATAGTGTGTTTGGGAGATGTGACAAGATGAAGTAAATGAGAGAATAGTTTATCAATTGTAGGAATCGTACGACTAGCCAAAATTTGATCACACACTAAATCAAGGTGAGTAGGAAGTCCAACAAGTGTAAGAACTATAAACAACATGTGTCTTTGCTTCTGTGATTTTTCAACGTTCATAGTGGCTGATATCAACCTCTCAAATTCCTCTATGACGACTTGAACTTGTCCGAAGTAAGTAGACATACTTGATACTTGATTCTTGTTTCTTTAAGTTGGTCATCCGAGACATCATATCATAAAAACGAGATATGTCATTATTGTATAAAGCGTGAGCCTTTTCCCAAACTGAATAACATGTCTAGAATGGGCGAAACAAGGGCATCAACTTGGAACCAATAAATCGCCACAAGAAACTACATAGTTGAGCGTCAACCTTCTCCCGATGTGTTTTGGACTTTTCATCTACCTCACTAGCCTTTGCCTTTTCATCTATGTCATTAAGTCATCTTGAATACCTTGACCCTTGCACCACAACTCAATTGATGAAGCCAAGCTAAATAATTTGAACTTCCCATTAACAGTTTTGAAGTTATCATAGGGCTTGCACTTCTAATTCCCGTGTTTTTTGGAGCTAAAAATATCACATCCGAGAGTCCTGAAGGATGGAAGAAAGTTCTATCCAAGAATCTGACAGAGGGTATATATCAGGATTTCTTGGTAAATTTCCCTGGAAAAAGATCTGGTACACTGCAGTCTCCAAACAAACTCTGAGTGTGAGAAAAAAAAATCAGAGAAGTAAGTTGGAAAAGAAATGAAATCACCGATATCAAAATGTTCACTGAAAACAGTGTTCTGATGGCCGTAATGAGAACGTATGTAGATGGGTATCCTCGAAATTTTGCCGGCGAACACAACAACAAAAAAAATAAATTGTCAAAAGTTGGCTGGAATATCTCGCACGCACCGGCACATGAACTCATGCGCTCACTGGAACCCTAGTATCTGCCGGCGCATGACACATTTGCTGCCGGAAAACTTGACTGGGCTTTAGTCGTGGGGGCTTGCTGAATCTGATGGTAGTGTTGGTTTTCGCGCACACTCACCGAAAGAGGGATGATGCAAGACAACTGGTATAGTCACCGGAATAAGCCGCTTGGTGACTGCTTCATGGTTTTTTCTTTTCTCGGATATCTCTCACAAATACTCTGATACCATGTGAGAAATAAAGACTTGGAAAAATATTATTGAATTGTGTATTATACATTATTACAGTGAACTCTATTTATAGAGATTACAGTACGATCCTTTTCCAAGTAGGACAATGTACACAATCCTATCCCTATTTCAATTCTAACACGGTGAAATAGTGCAGATATGGGCAAGCTGGCTGGAAGATCACTTTTATAAAAAATAATGCCCTATTCACATAAGCACATCATACTTACCATGTTGAATAAAATACAGAAGTCTTACTGTCTCAACTACACTTGCAAACGAGTCAAGCTTGCTCAGAATTTCATGCTCAACATGGCTCAAAATAAACAACAGCGTATAATTTGGCTTAGTACAGCTTTTTGGTCGTCTATGTTGTTTGCTTAATCAGACCCTCGAGGCCCCTTACAGGCTTACTAAACACAAGAGACTCATTCATTTGACAACAAAATAAGGATTGAAATAATCATACGAGTTTTGAGATTTGAGGTTGAAGTCATTGTTGTGAAAGACTGAAACCAAGCTTATGTTGTGGTATTGCTTGGGCAAAAGCATTGATGAGTATGATGATGTGGATGGAAAATTGTGGCAAAAACTAGTAAGTATAATGAACTTAACCATGAACGAGGGTGGTGGTGGGTGCACACTGTACAACAATCAACCCTGGTGGACTTATTCGAACTAGGATCCTCTATTTGGATGGCATTGATAATCCATATATTATTGACTATCAAGGCCATATATTATTGATTATCGAAGAGTTATTTGCCAATGAAACTTTTTGCTGACTTCGTCAAAATTAAGATTATGATTTAATATTTATTGCTTTGACAAAACACAAGGATGAAATTTGCTGAGAGGTAACACCTGGAGGAAAAAGGGATCAGTTGCTTCTGTCCTGTGTGAACTGAAAATTTGACATCATGAGCTTCTGTTATTATTAGATTATTAGATATTCTGGCAAAGTAAAAGGCCTTCCTTATCTAAATTGTTCCATCAACTGCATGTAAACTCACATATGTTACAAGTCATTGAATCACTCATTCTTAGGTGGGTATTTCCACGGCCGCAACAACCTGAGTTATGGAGTTGATATTGCTAAAATTAGATGGATGGGAGTGTTACAGGTACTTTGTGTGACAATGGCTTGTGTTCCTTAATTGATTATTTCCTGAAGTTGTATTCCCTGGCCGTCTTCTATACTCTTAGGTAGATCAAAACCTTTAATTTTAGTTGATTCAAGTTTCTATACATCCTACCATTACTCTATTTGCTTTTCTGTTGTAGAGGATTTCCATCGGTTATTTATTTGCTTCAATCCTGGAAATTTGGTTTGCCAATGATTATCCTGTTGATTCATCAAAGGCATTTATCAGGAGATACTTCTTCCAAGCGTAAGTATACCTTTTGAGAGTCTGGATCATCTGCTGTTATGTTCATTCATGGTTTATTTTAATCTTTCTGTTGGGGATTCACATGGTTGAAGTGTTCATTCATGGTTTATTTTTATCTTTTGTTGGCGATTCACATAGTTGAAGTGGTTGTTTTTCTTAATCATGTCTTCCTATGTCAAGAATTTCACACGTATCCCTTCAAGATTTTTGTAGTGCTTGAAATTTTGTGGTCGCAGCAGAATATTTATCCTTAAGCATGTGTATGAACTAGTACCCTTGATAGCTGTAAATGATATTACTACTACTTGTCCTGTGGAAAAAGATCTATGATACTCCAAAGAGTTCATGAAGTGCAACATTACCAGTTTCAAAAAAAAAGGAGGAGGAGTTCATGAAGTGCATAACAATATTCTAGTGATTCAAATGGCTATCCATCAGTTACTGGGAATACAGCTGGTTGACATTTGTTCTCTTCCTATGCTATTTCTACTTCTTATATAGCAGTCCTTTGACCTGATCAGTCAAATGAAATTTTCATCCCTTAGCATTGTGCTTATTGGAATTAAATGCAGGTTAAGCAAAACTTATTAAATTTTTCGGTGGATATGTGTTGGCTGATGGAGGATTTCCAAGAAGATATTCTTGTCATCAAAGATGTGATCCTCTAAGATGAGAAGATATTCTTCATATCAAGATATGATCCTCTAAGATCTTAGTATAATTGTGGTAATCTAGAATATCATATCTCTGATTCTTTCTCTTAATGTAAAGATTTAGGTGATTCTATTCCACAATCTTTTATGTATATATAAAGCCATGTACATGACATAGAAAAATATGAATGAAATTATTCAATAATCTTATTCCACACTTTTTCAGATTTGTTCCACTTGTTCTTGGTCTACAAACAATCATAATAACACGAAAGCCAATAAATAATTACTAACTATCCGAATTACTAATAATTCTATCAACCCTAGATCATACCCATGATCCCAATATCCAAATTACTGTTTTTCCCACCATAATTCTCAGATCAAGCTCTTCCCATCGATAATTTTCCATTAGATTACGTTCTACGAATCGAAAAATGGATTAGGTGAGTGAAAATATTACCTGTAGCCTCAAGATTGGTGGAAAACTGTCAAGAAAAGCCCTTCGTTCATTCCTTAGCTCTCAAGTTTGAAAATTACAGAATAAAATGTTTTTGGGGTTTATTTCTGAGTTTAAGTCGCGTCTGCCCCGCCTCGGCGGCACCTACCCCACTACAGTGGCCCCGCCCTGGAGGTAGAATCCCTCCTCTGCGGCTTTCACGGAACCAGTGAGCAAAATTAAGAATTTCAAACCCCCATTTCACAACACACTTTCCACCAACGACACTCAAAAACTACCCGTTCATTCTAAGATCGATTTCGGGAGTTTTACTCGCCCAAATTCAATTTTGTAAAGTCGTACGGGTTCCTTAACAAATTATCTATCTATTGATGTGATCAAATTCATAATTAGATAACCCAATTGTTACCACATTTCCCTAGACCTTAATGACTCTGATTTCATCCAAATCTAGACTGGGTTGGGAAATCCCTAGTTACTACGAAAAAGTTTTTCGACCCAAAATTTTTCCCCGCTGGCTTTTCTATAACGACGGAACCCGATCGTTACAATACATACCAATTTGCCTATCCCTGAGTGACAAACTTAGGAAAAATAGGCTAAGAAAGGAATGGAGTAGTACTTGAATCTACGAACAATTAGAGATACTTGTCTCACATGTCATTCTCAGTTTCCCAAGTAGCTTCCTCAACGAGACGATGCTTCCATTGAACTTTCGCGGACTTAATCTCCTTGGTCCTCAACTTTTGGACATCACAATCAGGAATTGCAATCGTTTCCTCCTCATATTGGAGGTCTTTGTCTAACACAATTGAGTCTTCTTTAATGATATAATACCCGTCACCATGGTATCTTTTCAACATGGATACATGAAATACCGGATAAACTCCCGATAGGTTAGGAGGCAAAGCCAATCTATACGCTACCGGTCCTACACATTCAAGAACCTCAAAGGGACAAATGTATCGCGGACTTAGTTTTCCCTTCTTGCCAAATCCCATCACCCCTTTCATGGGTGATACCTTAAGAAGAAAATTCTCACCAGTTTGAAATGCCATGTCTCTTACCTTATGATCTGCATACTTCTTCTGTCTACTCTGGGTTGTGAAGAGCTTAGCTTGAATACGCCTAACTTTATCTTGATCATCTTTCACTAAATCAACCACCAAAGGTTTCACATCTCCAGCCTCAAACCATCCGATGGGTGATCTATATCCCCTACCATATAATGCCTCAAATGATGCCCTATCAATGCTGGAGTGATAACTATTATTATAAGAGAACTCACACAAAGTTAAGAACTTATACCAATGTCCTCCAAAATCAATCATACATTCCCTCAACATGTCCTCTAACACTTGAATATTCCTCTCCGAATGCCCATCCGTCTGCGGATGAAAAGCGGTGCTGAAAGTGAGTTATGTGCCCAATTCATCATGTAATTTCCTCCAAAACATAGAATTAAATTGCGTACCATGATCTGAGATGATAGAAAGGGGCACCCCATGCAATCTCACTATCTCTTGCATATACACCTTGGCCAATTGTTCAACATTATAATCTATCCTTACCGGAATAAAATGGTCTAACTTAGTCAATCTATCAACCACTACCTAAATAAAATAAAACTTCCCCAAGGTCTTGGGAAGACCAACTAAAAAATCCATGGCTACTCTTTCCCACTTCCATTCCAGAATTGGCATTCTTTGAAGCAAACCTACAGGCCTTTGATGTTTATACTTCACTTGTTGACAATTTTGACACTTGCCCACAAACTCCGATATATCCTTCTTCATGCCCGACCACCAATAAATTCTCTTCAAGTTTCAGTACATCTTGGTCACATCCTGATGAATGGAATATCGCGAACCATGGGACTCTATCAACAACTTTTGAATCAAGTCACCAACTCGAGGAACACAAAGTCTTCCTTTAAAACTAAGTACATCTTCCTCATGAAGACTGGTCTCTTGTGCCTTACCAATTGCAGTCTTTTTCTTAAGTTCATCTAAACTTTCATCCTCAAATTGCCTGGCCTTGATCTCTTCCATAAACGTGGCCCTTACTTCAATGCTAGTTAACACCCCACCTATTTCTGAGATGCCCAATTGCATGAATTTAGACTCCAAGGTCTGAATTTCCTTGGCCAAATGTTGTCTAGTTACACTCAAGCAAGCTAAACTACCCATATTTACCGCCTTTCGACTCAAAGCGTATGCCACTACATTAGCCTTAATCAAAACTGAAGATCTGCATTCCATATAAGCTCTCCACCACTGTTTGGCCTCACCTTGAAGTTGAACCCCATGCTGATGGACAATTCCCAACTTATGCAGCCTCTCGTAACAATATACGATGAACTCATACACATCCTCACTCTCGTAACCATGGAACACAGGCGGCTTCAACTTCAAAAACTTGGTCAACATCTCATGTTCTTTACCAGTCATAACAGGACCCAATAAAGGACGAAAGAAAGTATCATTACCTACATTCCCTCCCACCTTGGGGATAGTGATAGCAATAGGAGGATTGGCGGGAGCTTGAGTTGCTTGAACAGAAGGAAGCACTCCAGGACCAACCAACCCTTTCAAGAATGATATGATTTGTTGAGGTAACACTGGGTCTATGGGAGGAACATCGGTAGTCTCAGCCTGTACCTCTTCCTCTTGTCCAACCTCCTCAACATTTTCAACCTGAATATTCTCCTCTATATCTTCATGATGTACGAGAGGGGCGTCATTTTCGGGGGCATTTTAGACCGGTACCCCATCTCTAGAAGACTCCACTCTTACTCGGACTCTACCCCTAGCTCTTCCTATACCCATGCCTCGACCGCGACCTCTCGCTGCAGATTCCTCAGTTGGAGCATTGACGGGAGCTACAGGCCTGACACCGTTGAATCTAGTGTTAACCATCTGCGAACACAAGAGTGAATGAGGTTAGATACCAATTCGAATAGACATATACCAATTAGAATCAAGTTATAGCACAAATATAGACAAGAGAAAATAGAGTGATTTCCTAAAGTCCTATAGCCTCTAATTAAAAAGTACAGACATCTCTGTACCATTCCGCAAGATACCGTCGTGATACAAACTTTGTCGCGACCCCGATCGTCGTAATTGGCACCCACAGTAATCTTCCGGTGGGAGAACCATTTATACTAAATACCCAATCCACATAATCAAAATAATAAGGCATTTAAGTTACAGAAGCAAGTTAAATGCTAAAGAAATAATAGAGTTCCCTTAAACTCCAAACAAAAGTCTAATAATAATAAACTAACATTGCGGAAGTAATGCCTAGAACCTGAAAGTCAATGTACCAAAACATCTCACAATGAACCAAATTCTAAACAAGAAGGGTTACAAACCCAAACTAATGAACTAACACCTAACTAGAAAGTCTATGTCTGAAATGTGGACAAAGATGAAAGAAGAACTCAGGGCAGCCTGGAAGAACTGGCTCACCTTTGAATTCGATCGACGATGAGTGATCTTCTAAACGAGGTATGTTAGTAGCCGCCTGAAGATGCCCTGTACCCAACAAAGAAAGAGCAAGTGCAATATCAGTACACAACCACAGTGTACTGGTAGGATCACGCGACTATTCCACTAAGTGCAACATACATCGGCCATTACAACAATATAATCACATGCATATATCGAACATAGACAATATTATCAACATTTTATGAACAATGTATGGTTTCACATTACTCAAGATACATAATTATATCAAATCATTGGTCCTCTCATGGAACCCAAACCCAAACTGTTTTCATACCGAAACGTGGTACCCAATCTAATGTTTATGCCGGAATGTGGCAACCGATCCAAGTTCGTGTGTCGCAACGCAACACCCGATCCATTGAACAAGCCACAATCACAACCACACGTATATTCTCAAGATCATACAATTACGTCATGATTTTATGGCATTCATCATTCCTCTATCTCATTTACAACAAGTGTGATCAATAATGCAACATTCGCATACATACACATATTATAATGAAGGAAGAACAAATATATATCACATAATCATGAAATCACAACCGTCACCTACCTCAAACAAAGTTTGAATCCCCTAAGAAACTTGATTCTTTCCTTTCCAGATTCGTTCCGCTTGTTCTTGGTCTACAAACAATCAAAATAACACGAAAATCAATAAGCAATTACTACTTACCCGAATTACTAACAATTTTATCAACCCTAGATAATACCCATGATCCCAATATCCAAATTAGGGATATGTTTTCCTATTGCACATTTTCCTGAGACATGGTACAATACATGATGACCCTTTCAGCTTTTTGCTTGTCCAGATATATGGGTCTATGCAATTGTATGATGTTCGTAATTGTTATGAGGAATGATGAGATCCCAGATCTGATCAATTATGTCTTTATGCCAATTTGAAAATTGCAAAATAATGCTATTTGAGAAGCTTCTCTTTTTTATGCTAATATGCTTCTCAATACGCAGGCTGGCTGGAATCTTAATTGGTTTGTCGTACCTGATTTTGGTATATGGCCTCTATGTTCCAGACTGGTTCTTTGAAATATCCAGTCTTAACATGGAATCACGATCACCAGTTTCAGGATATGGATCGAGTACTCAAACTGTAAGAATCTTTTTGAAGAGCTTCAAGATTTTAGTGTTCTCTGGTTTACTCTATCTGGTGGCTATTAAACTCTATTCCTTTTCAGCACCATACATCTGCTAAATTGTCACTCTACATGCCTTACTTTAAGTTCCCTAGAAGTCTGACACTTCAGTAAATTAATGTGGGGTTATTTTGGGAGGTCAGCATGCTTGGTTTAAGAGAGAAAGTGAAGCCACATTTCAGGGTCACAGATTGAGGCACTCTTGATCTTACTTTAGGTCATGAATCTATTTTTAACAGGTTAACTGTGGAGTGAGGGGCAGTCTCAAGCCTCCTTGCAATGTTGTTGGTCTGATTGATAGGCTTCTTCTTGGTGAAAAACACCTTTATCAACGTCCTGTCTACAGAAGAACCAAGGTTCTTTATGAGCTTAATTGTCATGTTCAAAATCTGATTTTGTGGATTTGAACTTTACATCTCTATTCTCATTGTTTTTCTCTTATAATTTCTGTGGATAGGAATGCAGTGTCAACTCTCCTGATTATGGACCTCCACCATCAAATGCACCTGGATGGTGCCTTGCTCCATTTGACCCTGAAGGAATCTTAAGGTAGATATCCTCCTTGCCCCATATACACTTTCTCAGCAGATTGCATCTTGTTTAGTTTTATTAGCTAAAGCCTAGTTACATACAATTAGAAACAACTTTCTTTTGTGAGTTGATTTACTTTTCTCGAGGTACTAATTCATGAAGGCTGATTACTCAATCTCTCACTTCATTATGCAATGTATAAAGTAACATATCTTTTGCTGTACCATTTGTTTTACATAGGATTAGTGCTTAAATCAACCAAAGACTACACAATATTTTAAGAATGATTGGAAATTCCTGTTTCTTTTTTATGTTGAATCAAATTATGTTCCTTTGTTTTACTTTAATTGCTTCCAGCTCATATTTTTCTATTTCTTCATTGAAACTATTCAGTTCTTTGATGGCAGCCATTACGTGCCTTGTGGGCTTGCATTTTGGCCACATTCTTGTGCATGTTCAAGTAAGGAAGACATGATACCTTTTTGAAATATTTGCTAACTATAGAATTGCTTCTTGTTTTTGTGTATTCTCTTTCTCATATTTATACATCTTTGCTATAGGATCACCTGCAGAGGGTAATCTTTTGGTCCGTATTTTCTGTATTTCTAACACTTGCAGGATATGTATTGGAGCTTGCAGGTATGCTGTTTTATTGATGACAGTGGGTTGAATTTTGTTTTTACAATATGTTTGCTTTATAGCTGACACTCACATCACATTTTTTATGTTCCAGGTGTTCCTCTTTCTAAACCGCTTTACACATTGAGCTATATGTTCATCACGGCTGGAGTATCCGGTTTGCTCTTAGTAGTTCTTTATTACATTGTGAGCCTGACTAGATTCTTTGGTTATCTTCTCTTTTTATGAGATAATCCTTTTGTGATATTAATTTTACGAAAAATGATATGTACCGAAACAGAGGAATTTTCTTGCATTGAAATTTGGCAGAATGAATAATAAGCAAGATGCCCAAGAGAGGCCACCAGAAATGAGCATTGATGATATTAACATACTATATCAGATACTCTGCTTAATGAAGAAGTGACTGCTAGGTTAATAAATGGAATCAAACTGAAGTTCACAACATGAGAGTACTTTTAATTTCCTTGAGTGTTACAGAGTTTATAAAAGATCTGTTCGTGCAAATACCAGGGTTGTCAATATTATTTTCATTGTTGACTATTTTGTTGGTAATAGTTGATAAAAATATGGTAGACTCAAACTGTGCAATCATTATTAAGGGAAACATATATTTGGTCATGATGCATTACGGTCTAGTGTCTAACTGAAAGCACATACGTTTATATATTCGCTAAAGCAATGTATGATCTGCAGTCTGGACTTCCAAATTTAATTAGATGGCTGTCTGGAAGATTGCAAGATATGGTACCAAATAATGAAAAGCAGAATTACATGGGGATTTTCCTGGGGATTAGTATGAAAATCCGCATGAAACTTATTTTCCTGCAAATTTTCATACTAATCCCCATGTAATTCGCACTTTTCTTGTAGTGTTTCCTGATACTTTTATGTATCCGTCAAGTCTAGTAATTGCTTTCCTAAGTAAGAAAGATATTCCCTTAATCTTTTACATCATTAGAGGAAAATGATGATATTACTGATCTAGGGCATGAAATTAATTTGTGTTCTCTATCTGGCCGGTGCAGGTTGATGTCAAATGTTTTCAGAAGCCAATGATACTATTTCAGTGGATGGGAATGAATGCTCTCATCCTATATGCTTTGGCTGCTTGTGACCTCTTTTCTGGGGCACTGCAAGGTTTCTATTTGTATTCACCCGAAAACAACTTGGTAATCATCTTCTTTCCATTAAATGTTAGTTCCTCTAGTAAACTTACTCATCTCCTGAGGAGCTATTTCTGATAATTGCAACGCTCTGCTCCACGAACCTGCTTTTGGCAACAGTGTTTGTGGAAGATCATTAGTGACAGGTGTGACAGAGAGAACCACATTAAGAGAGAGAGAGAGAGAGAGACTCGAGATAGACAATATCCCTGGAAATGAGATTGGGATTTAGAATTTGGCCTTTTATGAAGGCTTAGTTTAACCTACTAATCTATATATGACAGGCATCAGAAAACAGTGAGCAGAGCACATCAAAGATATTTCTGTTTTTGTATCCTAATGGATAAATTAGTAGTATGAATTTGGAGGATTCTTGGTAAAATGAGTACTCTGGAGGAAGGAGGGGGGGGGGGGGGGGGCATTTGAAACTGGGGCCCCTTTCCCATGGTTACGATTAAAATTTGTGAATGATAAAATTTTGAGAAAAATTGAACTATGATTTTTAAAAACATCAAGGGTCTTGTCACAACAATAGACAATGATGGCCTAAAGAAGAAAAAATATTTAAGGAGAATAGAGATGGTGTTAATGGTGGGTGTGGGGTGGGGGAGGGGGGGGGGGGGGGGGGGGGGGGTGTCATTTGAAACTGGGACCTCTTTACCAGTTGAACTAGTTCTGATTACCCTTCAAGTACTCTGCACCTCTCCCCTCTCCCCATTTGTTGTGGTTTTCTTCAGCCCTCAGGTAGTGCAGTGATATTTTATGGTGTCATTCACTTAATAACTTTCATACTTGTATATTCTCCTCAAGTCGCTTTATATTCAATTTTTTTCTTGTTAACAACAGTCTCTCCATTTTTTGTGCAAGAGACATAATCACATAGTATCATTTTCTAGCACATTCACTGCTTCATTTAGGTTTCCAAGTTTGTTTAATGCATACTCTTAGGTGCTTTTAGAGATTTACAGATAGTAACTATATCAAATGATGCTTCTCGTCAGATCTGAAGTTACAAATAAAATGGCATGTAGGTTGACATTACAGAAAGGTTCATTCAAGCAGCATTTAATTCAAAGAAGTGGGGTACCTTGGTATTTGTGATGCTTGAGATATTGTTTTGGGGTTTGGTTGCTGGATTCCTTCATGCAAAAAAGGTTTATATAAAGCTATGAAGTTGCTGATGTGAATGCTTTTGCGTTGTGTGGTGCCTCTCTTGATCATGCCCAGTATTTCAAAAGAATGCATTCAGTGAGTCCTTCAGCAGCAAATCCAGAAGATTTGAGATTCTCAACTCATAGCATTGAACTTTACTATCCTTGTGGCATGTATATATCTGCGGACAATATTACATAGGAGATTATGAACAGTTTCCAGCTTTCTCCTTGTGTAGTTGTGGCATTAAAATTTGCTTCGAGGATATCTACTTAGTCCAGTCACAAATGACAGCACGTTGTAAACTTGTAATGTCATATTTAATTCTCTTTGTTGATCTTCCTTTCTATTACGGTATTACCCAGTTCCTAGCTGGTCTTGACATAGAATGAAGTTAATCGTGGACACCACATTATATATATATATATATATATATTCTCCTTTTCTGTTCTTTATGCGGGTGGAGTGGCCGGGAAGCAGGTAGAATGAACTATGAAGAATGCTCTTCTTATTAGCAGCGCCTTTTCCCCTCTAATCTCTATTATAGAGAGAGGCCCTGTTCTTGAACTTTGCAAATTCATTTACCATGAAGAATCAGAGATTATAACTTGGACCCAGTTAATACATTCATAATCCTCTAATTAGCGAGTCTGATATAGGGCATAAGCACAAGTTATAATGCGAGACAAAATTAACCATGGGAATTTTATCAAGGCTGTCTGGATTGCTTCTGTTTCTGTTACTAGATAATCCGTTTGCAATAAGTGAACTAGATTGAGTAGACATCGTGCATCAAATCAATTTTTTACTTGTGTATTTTTTTTTTTCCCAAGTCTGAAGATCCAATTTAATTAATTTACTAATTAAAGGTAATTGTTCTTCCTAGACAGAATTGAGAGAGTCAAGTTCTCAAACTCTCACTCAACTATATATAACTGTTTAGTAAAGTGAAACTACTACGTTTTAGGAAGACAAAAAAAAAAATGAAATTGAAGCAGAAGGCTGGCTAGATTATTATGATTGTTATGTTCCCCTTGTCTTGTTATAAATACAGTATATAGGTTAGCTTCATCATCAATGTGGAGTAGGTATGTACTTCTCATCCATCATATACTATATAATTAGCTAGACAATTAGGGGCTATCTAGCCGTAGCCTTATTTATTACGTAATGTTGACCTTGCAATTAATGGAATTGGCCGCTGATTGAATCAACGTTTTGACGCCTCGTTTGTTGGTAAAAATGAAGGATGAAGAGTTCGGCCTTGGCATCGATCATGTCGTCAGCGCCAATAGCATCGAAGACTTTGTCAGGATCATCTTCCTCTTCCTCCTGTTCGTCGAGGTCTTGGAGATTGTTTGCGGAAGCATACTGGCTCATGGTCCCCGATGAGGCTGAGGCCAGGGCATCTAGTGATTTCAGATCGTTTGCTGAAGCGTATTGGCTCATGGTATCCAACTGATCTAGTGATTTGAGATCGTCAGCGGAAGCGTACTGGCTCGCTGCAGAGGGTGACGTGGCACAATATAATGTATTATTATTATTATTATTATTGTCCTGCAGATGCAAAGGGCGCATAGAACCCACCAGCTTCTTCCAATCTCCCTGTTGGGTTATTACCTGAGCAGCTTTCTGCTTTCCTTTTGTACGATGGCGCAATACGAACATTGCAGCTTTGAAGAAGCCGAAAACGCCTGGCGTCTTCGCCTTCTTCTTATTCTGATCGTCATTTCTGTTGTCCTTGATGGCGACCACGCCTTCCGTCATTCTTTGATACGTATTAATTAATTTGCCCTAGCCCTCCCTGCAAAATGCAGGGTGAGTTATGGGAAAAAAAGATTTTGGGTATAACTACCACACTTCTTATGCTCTATATAGGAGGAACATTTCTGTTTTCTTGGCAACATTTGTCACCACAATAAATCATTCAAATTAACACATTATTATTAGGACAACCAAAGGCTTCTATTTTCTACTATACCGGAGTTTTCTCCTCATCAACCAAATGCATAATTGTGTTGTCCTTTTTTTAATAAAAAATGATATATACGGAAAAGAAATAAGGTTATATTTTGTAGAAAAAAATTCGAACATTTTAAATTTTGCAAAAGAAATAAAGCACTTATGCTCTAGATGAAGTAATTATTCGTACCATGTAAAATGACTAATAAAAAATAACTAAAACTATGTGTATTTAAAACTTAAATTAATAAAAGGAATACAAAGATATACAATTTATCAAAGTGGTACCTGACAGTATTGATACTCATTTGGCAAAATTGTACAAGAAACCGAACAAAGTTCATAATTTTCACAACTTGTGAGGATTTCATGTTCATGAAAAGAATAATCTTAAGAAATGCAAATTGCATGTCCAAACAAAAATTCAACTTCATAACAATGCGATCATATCACAGGTCCAAATGGGCCCCTACGTGTGAAAGACAAACTATGGACCCCAAGATAGTATTATAATGGCAGGATAATTAAGAGATTAACAGAATGACCAGATTTCATGCTTTTGGACACTTGTGTGCTGGAATGTTGTGGTTCATTTCTTTTCGACGAACAGAACTGGGGCATATCTCTAAGCATGGCTCTTTAAGAGCGTCATCAACTTCTTGCTGAGGAGGAAGAATCCCAAATTTAAACTGCCAATTAGATTGGGACGGCGTTATGTATGTTTCCATGGTGTTTCTTGTAGACACAAGATTAAATCAGAAGAATCACATGCGTGTGTTGCAAAAACGTCAACTTTTATGATTATGTCAACAAGAAGTGTATTATATCAGCATGTCTTATTTTAGCCTCAATCTTGAGTTCCATTAAACCTCCAAATGGTGTGGATGTGTTACCAATTATATGTTTAAGATGCATGAAGAAATATACTTTTGCAACAGCACCATCACCTGGCCAATGAAAACAGTTACCTGACAGCTATAGTCCGTGAAGTTTGGCTCCATCAGCAATGGAACTCCCATGTGATCCTTGAAGAAAGTCTAAAAGAGAGGCAGAAATGTGATGGCCAGCTCACATAAGAAGCTCAGATAGGGCAAACCTTTTAACATAGTTATACATTTTTAGTAGTCATTAGTTAAGTTCAAGAAGCTAATAACTCTGATAGAAACATCCTAGTTCACACAATTAAGATAATCTGCCTCTAAATTTTATAGAACTCGAACCCTTCGGGATGGCCCAGTGGTTTGGACTTGTGACTTCCATGTTGGAGGTCACAAGTTCGAAACCCCTTGCCAGTAAAAGTAAGGGGTTTGCCTTCTAGGTCGAGCTCGTCGCATCGGGCTTGCCTAGTGCAGGTCACCTCTCCTATGTGGTTTGCGAGCTATTGCATAGGAGTGAGGGTTTTACCTTGTGCGCACCCAAAGGGTAGCGGCTGCGGGTTTCCCTTGTCATCAATTTTTTTTTTTATAGAACTCGAGTTAAGATTTGAGTGCTCTCTAAAAATCCCCCAAGTTAACCTATACACGTACTATTAACATCTTTTGAAAAAGAATGTATGAGGAAAACACCATTATGATAAATAGCATGAAATCTCATTCCGATATCTTTGAACTGAAGTCTATGTTGCTCGGACTCTTCAAAAATGCCAACGGGTGCGTGTCGGATTCGCCAAAAGTAGTGTATTTTTGAAGAATCCGAGACGGGTGCGGCATCAAAAGTGAAGAGTCCGCGCAACTAAGACTGAAGTAATGGATGTAAATTTGACAACTCATGGAAGCTACTGTATAACTCAATCAGCAGCTCCATTACACTAATACATACTCCCTCTGTTCGCCCGGTTTTGACTTGGCACAGAATTTAAGTAAAGAATACTTTGGAATTTTGTGGTCTTAAATTAAAAATAGATAGAATGTACCAAAACACCCTTTAATTTTATGGTCTTAAACAAGCTATGTGGAAAATTGAAATTAAAGTGTTCCCAAAAAATTAAAGGAAAGAGTTGTTCTTTGTGAAACGTACTAAAAAGGGAAGTAAGACAAACAAATTGAACCAGAGGAAGTAAAAAGGAGCATTTGAGGTGAAAGATTTCAGCCCATCAGCTTATTAGAAAGTGTTCACAAAATTATTGCTAAGCTGCTGGCAGAAAGGCTCAAGCTGGTAAAATTGATAAGTTAGTTTTAGAGTGTTGGATGATTTTATAAAGGGTAGGCAGATATAGATGCAACTATGGTGGTTAATGGAAGTTTTGAACACTCAATGACGTTGACGAAAAGATAAGGCATACGACATGCTCCGTATAATCCAGACAGATAAAAGGAAAAAAGAAAATAAGGGGAAACATGAATGAAGCAAATACAGTCTACAATATATAGATTTTTCCCAAGATATGGTTTTTTTATAAACAATTTGCCCACGATATTAAAGCAGCAATCAAAATACTTCACCAGATAAAGAATGACAAAAGTTCAGCACTGCAAATGCATCAGAAAGACCCATTAGGAATTATAATTCTCAATCTAGAAAACTGACCTGTGTAGGGAGTTTACATGTATTAATACATACACCCACACATTTGCTCTCTTCCAAATACTTGCATTTCTCCACAAAAACCTATTGAAACAATTAATTCCAGAAATCAAAATAAGAGTGAACACATTTTAACTAGTGGCAGTCCAACTTGTATAAGTGTAACATGAAGGAATCTCTGATGAAATACAGAGAGTAAGCTAAGGGGATAGAAATACTAACCCCACTCATCAATGAGGAACCATTTGGAAGATCTACGGAATTAACAGCACATGGACCCATAAGCCATTGGCAAGATAATGCAGTCACCCTTGCTTTCAGAAGTATAACAATCAAATGTTCAGATGAGAAGTAGCTACTTAAGGGGAAGAAAACAGAAGAATATCACTCACCGACCATCAAGGCTGCAAATTTACCACTATGTATAGGTGCAACAAGCATCCGGTAGAGCTCCAACAACAAAGGAGGAAATAATGATTTCAATATACGAACCTGTCTGTCACATTATCAAAAATATCCCCACGGCAGTAGAGATATTAAAAGCTACTAGCTCAACAACGTACTTAATTACTCACATTTGGCAACGAATGAAAAAGAAGAAGAAAAGTAAGTTGTTACCGCGGCGTCTCTAGTTTTGGAATTGTCTTGACCAACCGTCAGACGATGCGCCACTTCAATTAGACCCTGGTACCCTGGCTTTTCGGAGTCCCATCCTGTCTCCTATAAAAGGCACCCTATTTGAGGTGAGGAAACGAAGTGGAGTTATGCTGGAGGGTGAAAGGGGTTTACCTGGACCATTTTGTTCCGGAATAAACTAAGGAACAGATTATCAAACACCTTGGGCTTTCTTGCTTCAATCTGGTGGAATGAGCAGAAATAACTTGTAAGAAGAAATCAAATAGTAAGACAGAAAAGGGGGGAAGAGCGTTTCACACAGGTTCTGATGTACTGTTTGAGAAACACGAAACCCGAATAGCGGTTTTTCCATGGTAAACTTTGGGCCAAGCGAAGAGGGACGAGGGCAGAGGAACCATAGCCATCACCGGACTTCCAATTCTATCTTCCTTTCTTTCGCGGTTGTAAAATATACTACGCCCAATCATTATTATTTAAAATTCGTTGTGATATTTTCAATTTTTAAAATATAATACTAATATTTATTTTTTTCTATTAATAATATCAACGATCTAACATTAACATTAGAAATCAAAGGGAATTTATGAATAAAAAGATCAGTAATAATAAAATATGATTGATTTTTGGACAATTAAACCAAAAATTTTAATTTAAATCATAGGGATATTTGCTACATTTTAAGTAGTACTTATTTAGTATGATTTTTTTGATAATGTAAATTTAAAAACATGCATAATTAATATAGGTATAAATTATAAAAAATTATATATTATTTTATTTAAGATAGAAGATGGAATAATTAAAACATAAATAATTAAATTTCATAATTAATATTTATTTAAAATTACATAGTTAGCATATCAAGGTTTTTTAATTTTTCTTTTCATATTTTACCCTCAATATTAATTACTTATTTTAAATCATTTTTCAAAATGTATAATTATAAGTCAATTAATATAAATATCATAGTAAAATAGTCATATTAATTAGAATTTAAAAGGCATATAAAATTTAAAATTAACAAATGAAAGAAATTGGAATGTAAATGGACAAGTGGCCCCAACGTTTTTTACTATGTAAATATTTATAAGCAATACAATTGCAAATGGAGTCTTTTAATAAATAATTACTAATTTTAGCGATACTTTTTATTTATTATCATTTATAGCAATACAATATAAAATCTGCAATATGTATTAAAAGTAAATTAAGTATGCAATATATATGTATTATAACTGTTTTTAAAAAATATATTATGCTTGTTTGGTAAGAAGTTGACACATTATATTATAAGGGGTCGTTTGGTAGAGTGCATAAGAACAATGCAAAATAAGGTGTATTAGTAATGCTTGCATTAGTAGTGCTTGCATTAGTAATACTTGCATTAGTTGTGCCTGCATTATTTCTTATACACTATTTGGTTTGATGTATTAGAAATAACAAATCTTGCATAATTTCTATTAAAAAAATGTATGTTTACAAAAATACCCTTCACACTTTATTTCTTTGTACACTTCCTTTGCAACAAAGGTTTTTGCTAAAACATCAAAAAAAAATTCTTTGCTAAAAAACATTATTTACTCCTATTCTTTTTTTTTTTTCAAATATAAAATTAAATAGTTGTTACAATATTGAAATAAGATTTTTTTTAAAAAAAGAGGAAGATGTCAAACTTCTTCACATTTTTGCCACTATATTTCCCAAACTAAAGTTTACCAGCAACATACTTTGAAGCAATACTTTTTTTTTTGGAAGAACGAACACATTTTATTCTCAAAACTTATAGAACCCAGTTACAGCAAATCAAAAGCATGGAAATGAAACAAGCTAGTCCATTCTATACAATTCCATCAACTATTCCTACACTTTTCTATTTATATAATTGCTCTATCCAGTATCTATCTTTACACCTATGCTTCCTTTTTAGTATTTCAAAGATTCTCACTTTACTTTCCATTTGTATCTTCTGCAATATCATCTGTGTTCTTGATGCTTCTGATTCCAAACTGCATCATTCCTCGCCTGCCATATATAATATATTAGCGCCGCCAGTATTGCCCATATTTGAAGCAATACTTCACATGCTCAAATTAACGTGTTCCTTGGGATTATTACAATAATGAGGCATTTGATGAATTTCTTCCGAATAATCAAAATGTAACAGCACCACAAGAGTACGAAGGACCACTCAAATTGGAATTTGCCAGCTCCATTATTAGTAGATTCCCAAAATGAATTTCATCCATGGGGTTAAAATTCTTCATCTGTTTTAGATCATAATTCTACAATTCTAGATCAACAAGAACAGCAGGCACAATTGGACTCTCCAATATGTCTAGTAGTACAACTAGACCATGAAGAAGAAGAACAAGAACAAAGAAGAATGACGAAGAGATTGAGAAACAAAGAATTACACACATTGCCGTTGAACGAAATTGTCGAAAACAGGTGAATGAGTACCTCTCTGTTTTCCGTACTCTCATGCCTGAATCTTATGTCCAAAGGGGTGATCAAGCATCAATTGTTAGTACTGTAGCTTTTTTAAAAAAAAAAACAATCAAAAAGAGCCTTTATTGCAGTTTCACACACATCACAATGGTGTATCAGTCCAGGCAAAACCTAAGAGGTAGTGATTTGGAGCCAGTAACGACTTGGGAAAGATGAGCCATATAATTGAGCAGAGATCAATGTAAACATAAATACGCAATCGTGACGTTTTAGCCTTCCAATGGATCACTCTCTTATCACTGATCAATTCTAGATTATTCACACACATTCATCAACTCATAGAGAAATTAACAATGAAAAATAGAGATCAGACAGAGAAATATAAGACATATTAAAGAACTGTCATAACAGCTATATAATTGCATTTCAGAATCTCAAAATTAAATGGCTACACGAGAATTTGAAGAGCTGTAATGACAACTATATAATTACATCTGCACTTAGCATTGACACAAGAGTTGGGATATTTTGATAAAACTTAGTTACACAAAAAGATTTAACATGCTCATGCGCACATTAATAATCGGAGGTGTCAAAAAATGCCACTGTTGTCATACTTTGAAGTGATTTCAAGCAAACATTACTAAACTAGTGTAGCCACTTATATCACAAGTTCACCGTACTTCAAAGTTTATCATGGACAACCATCCACATCATTGTCTGACGATTATGTTCACCCATACGTAAAAATAATTTCATCTTTTTGTCGTCTTTACAGAGAATCATTGCAGCTTTTATACGTTGCTCTGTGGTGTACAACTCAAATGCAGGGGATTCAAGGATAGAATAAACTTGACCACGAACATCAGATCGATCACGATCCCCCATCTTACCCTTAAGAAATGTCTCACTATCATCCTCTACTATTTTTTTCCTTTTCTTGCTTTTCTCTTTCTCATTAACATTAGAAGATGATCTTTTAGCATACTCACCTTGTTTATGACTTTTTCGGGATCCAGCATGTTCATTTTCAGAACCAGTAACATTTTTCTCCTTCATTAAATACGCTAGGTCCAGTGACATTTTCAGCTCTAGTAAATGAACTAGGTTCGGTGAAATCTTCAGCTGTAACAAATCCACCTTGTCCAGTGGCTTCTTCTTCTTCTTCTTCTTCTTCCCAAACTCATGTCATTAGAATGTTGTGGAGCTTGACTCTTTTGAATTTCTTCAGTAGTATCTAGCGGCCCTTCAACAAACTCTCATGTTGCTCTATCCTTACCAAAGATTTCTTCCCAATCCTCAAACAGTGGCCATTTCTTAGTATTCATTTTCTTGGTTTGTGGATCAATCTAGAAAATTAAAAAATAAAATAGAACAATATAATATTAATTAATTGTAAAAGGATCTAAAGAGAGGCTAGATGCTACTGTATATGTGATAATAATAATTTACTTGATCGCTAGTTTAAAGGCACATCAACTATGAATAATTAAAGTAACTAACAAGGAAAGTACCATATGAAATAACAAAAACATATTAATTACCTTTATAAAGTCAATCCAATGTTTTGGATCGTCAACTACTATAGTTCCATCACTATATTGAAATCCCAAACCACTTCGAGTCTTCAACAAAGCTATACTTACATAGCATCTTTTCCAATATCTCATTTTATTTTTGATTTGTGGTTCACCTTTCAATTCACTTCTAGGATGATATTTGTGTATATAACGCTCTAACTCCATCAAGTGCCCTGGTCTAAAGGTTCCATTATCACATCTGGAATCATTAGCATACAACTCTTTATGCCCGTCTAAAAAAGTTTGTTCTTCTTCTGGAATCCATGTCCTTCGTGTTGAAGGTGTTGTGTTGCTTGATTTTTTTGATTTCTTATTTGATGATGTTTGACCATTCATTTTGCCTGTAAGAACTTGTGCGACAGATTATCAAAAAATCAGGAAGAATCAAATATCATAAGATTCACTATAAACTAAAGCATACAACAAAAGAGAAGTGAAAAGTACATAAGGGTGTGCAATTAAGGTCACAAAAAATCAGAAGTTTCTGACAGTTAAACAATTTATACTAGGCCAGTTCTAAAGAGCAAATGAAGTCCAAAAAGGTTCTATAGCTACTAAGTAGCAATATAGTTCAAAATGTAGTAATATATCAATTGTTAAATCTTGCATTCTACATTGATTGAGCCAACTCATCCCTCCAAGTGGTCCACTCCTCTGACGATTCAACAACATCAATATTCTCGTGTTGATACTCCATTTGTTCTTCTATATCAATGTCTAAGGGATCCACTTCCATCTCTCTACGAATGAAATTATGAATCAAGCAACAAGCACTAATGATCCTGTTATGAACCTTAACTGAGTACCATGAAGAACTTCTAAGAATTCCCCAACGCCCTTTTAACAAACCAAATGCCCTTTCAATTACATTACGAGCTCTAGCATGCCTTATGTTGAAAAGCTCTTCTTTACATCGAGGTGATGGATTATCGCCGCGCCAATCCTTTAACCAATATCTATAACCTTGATAAGGTGAAAGAAATCCTTTTCCATTCGTATATCCTCCGTCACACAAATAATAGTTACCTATAATATAAACATATAATTTAGTTACTAGTAGCATTCTTTCTATAATGTAACTTGAAAGCATATAAAAGGCCTACCCTCATGAATTTTCAAACCATTTCTTCGTACTATAACATCTCGTAATACACGACCATCAGCAGCCGAACCTTCCCATCCAGGTAACACATACGTAAAATTGAGATTTCTATCACAAACTCCCAAAACATTAGTTGCTATTTCTCATTTTCTTGTTCTATATCTTGGTTTGTGTTGGATTGGAACTCTAATGGGAATGTAAGTACCGTCTAGTGCACCTAAACAACCCTTTAAGATAAATTATAGTGTTATCTCAAAATATATAATATTTTTCTAAAACTGCATATTTTGTATATAAGTTAAAAGATGCTAAACAACAATTTCACCTACCTCAAACCATCTTCATTGATCTTCAATCTCATCCTCAAGTACCGATTTAGGATTAACAAGTAGCAATGGAGCTAGTTTGAGAATAGCACTCAAGCATTCATTGAAAGCCTGACTTACGCTCCATCTCGATCTAATATAATCAACATTGATGGATCTATTTTTCTCATGATGAGTTAAGATATTTAAAAATATTGCTAATTTTTCGCTGCTTGGCATACTTTTACTATCAGTCAGACCTCCAATATCCTTAGTTAAGAGAACTAAAGTGTGAAAGGCATTTCTATCCATTCTTAACTTATCGATACATACACTACCATTATCATTTATGATATAGTGTAAGTGAGAAATGATTTTCGAAACTCGAACACTCATACGATACCTAACCTCACGTCTGCTTCGACATCGTCTTCTTAGAGAATGACCATAACTAGCCATGAAAAGACAAATAAGGAGAACAAGAACTTGCTGAAACAATATCTCCACAAGAATAATATATTCAATACCTGACAATGGATGAAGATCCATAATAACATGTATATTTGCCATAAAAATAAGAATGAACACATATAAAGCTTTTAAATAAGCAGCTATGTATAATTTTCGACCATATAAAGAGTGAAATAGATGAACTCAAAGAATATTAAAAAACAAGCTAAACCTAAATATCATCATCAGATCTATTAACTTTGGACGAATGACTTTTTCACAACTATTTGCTAAATTAAAATTAACAAAACACTTTGATTGCATTCCAAAATGGTTGGCAAACTCTCAATGTTGATTTTGATAGAGAAAGAATTATACCCAAATTGTGAAATAGAGGTAGAAAAATCAAATAATAATGAAAGATAAGAGTACTAACCTTGTGGAGATGAGCAAACAATGTTTGATTGAGCAGAAGGAAGAAGAAACTCAGTCTTGACTTTCCATTGACAAAGTACAAAGTAGATGAAAAGTTTCTAAAACAAGTACTATGGAAAATATTTTTTTAATAGGCTTTGAGGGTAGTTTTGTAATTATATAATCTAATGCAAGTGTTAAAGTGTTATGTATTACTAATACCTAGAATTTCTTGGTATTAGTAATACACAATATAGTGTATAACTAATGCTTGCATTAGTTATATATGACATAAAACAGTGTACCAAACAAGGTATTACTAATAGACACACCTAATGCATGCACTATATTTCTAATACACTCTACCAAACGACCCCTAAGTGTATTAAAATGTGTGATAAATGTATTATCCATCAATAAAACTTGTATTATATGTGAATTATAAATTGTGTCTTTGTAATATGAATTAAAAGTGTATTATAAATGTATTAAAAGTGATCAAGTGAAAAAAAATGTTACTGCTATAAATGGTAAATATTTTTTATTTATTGTATATTTATGTAAGTTTCTCATTGCAAATTAATAGAAGTGGACCCAATTTTGTTTGAGATGTGAATAATAAGCCATAGAAGTGTGCCCATTTTTGTATGAAATGTGAATATGCAAGCATGTTGACCGAGTGGTGCTTGCTTATTCATATTTGACATAATACATAAATATACCCTTTAACTTGATCTCATTTTATATTTATGCCCTTCAATTTTGAGTGAGCACAAATAGACACTTACACTTGTATAAAATTGGACAAATAGACACATGAGTTCTACGTGTCACTATACACGTAGGACACAAATTTTCATGTAGGATGACATGTAGGACGTTTGTGTCTATTTGTTCAATTTACAAGTTTAAGTGTCTACTTGTGTACACCTAAAATTAGAGGGTATAAATATGAAATGAGACCAAGTTAAAGGGCATATTTATGTATTATGCCTTCACATTTCTTATATGGTAATTCTCATGAAATCACATACATTCAAAATTATCATAAATCTTTTTCTCAAAATAATAATAATAATAATGATAAATTATTATTTGGTTTAAAAATATTCTTTTTCTTAATAATCTAATCCAAAAATATTTTGTGGATAATTATTTGATTAAAAAATATTTAAGTGTTCCTTAAGGATCAAAAAAGTTCTTTTCCTAATAAATTTAGTATTTTTTTTCTTTTTAAACATATTCTATTCCTTATAAATATAAATTTAATGAATAAAAAATGTTTGTTTTAAAATACTTTTTTCTTTTTAAACAAACGTAATTTGCTTTTTTTCCTTAAAAAATTAACTTTAGAGGAAAATAATATGTTTATATAATACCATTATTAACTTTCATTTAAATAACGATAAAAAATCATAATTAAGTTTTTTTGTAAATAGTAAATATTCTTTCCTCTTAGTCTTTGCTGCCATTTGAATTGAAATGTTAGGTAACATCTTCAGCAGTATATTTAGCAAGTAGAGATTCCCAAATCTCCTTTGCTTCCTTATCAGAACAATACACATCAAACAATTCATTAGAAAGAGTACTTAATATTGTGTGCTTACATACCTTATTTGCATAAATCCACTGATTTAGTTGCTTAGAAGCAGATTCCTTCGGTTTTGATTCTGTTAACGCAGACGTCACTCCATACATGTCAAGAGCAGAGAAAATTCGTTCATGCCATCTCTTAAAATTCTGTCCACCAAAAACTTCGACTTTTGAAACATCAGGAAAGTATTTGCTAAAGTTGTGTGAAGGCACAATAGGGGTAATGGTGGTATTATCAGTAACAATAGCAGGTGAATCGTTTCCGTGAACCATGATAACTAAAATATCCTTAAGATTGTTAATTGGAAAACTATTGGAAATCACATAAATCAGCTAGCTTGAGGCGTGCCTATGGCACTGTCCTTAAGGATATTTCACCAGTTAAGGTGTATCCCCAAGATTCAACAAGTTCTTCTAGTACTAAAACAAAGGAACCAGAATCTAACAAAGAATATATTTTTCTTAAGAAAATCCAGCAAATAAAAAAGGAAGAAAAGTTATTTTAATGTAATATCTCATACTCTTCCTTTTGACACACAAAAGTACTATATATAGATATACTAGAAGGGCCAAAGCCCGTGCTTCGCACGGCCCAACATGGTGATTATTAAAGTGGGAGATAAAATGTTCTACATTAAAAATAAATATGTGCCACAATCCAAACAATAGTTCTTAAATCAAGCCTTAAACGTCAAAATCCACCCAAAGTAAAAGGGCACCAGAATTGCCATAAAATCAATTAAAAAACAACACTATCCACCTACATAAAAATTAAATTATCTAGTGTAGCGACATGTAAATATCATAGTGGTAACTCTCCAACTGAAGCTATTCTTTGCAGCCTAAAATATTCCTGTAAGCAGATCTGCATCAGTGGAGATAGTTGCTCCTGTGATGGCAACTACACCACATGTTCACACGAATGATCATCTTGTGTAAAAGTCTGACCTGCACCAAGTATTAATTCCATCGAGGCACTATCTTACTAATCATGAATAGCGTGCCTCTTTCAATTCATAAGTAATCCCAGAGTATATTTCTATTAAAACATTACATTTTATAAATGCAACTTTCATTTATGAATATATTATAAGTTGATTTTTTTTTGCCTAATTCTTATGTTTATTTATATTTGATTTCTCTTAAAATGTTCACTCAACTACTAAATTATATATTTTTAATTAAATAATTTACTACTCACTTAAAAATTATATTTTATAAATTAATTAAAATGTAGATAACTTTAATAATATTTTTTTTTTGCTTTAATAAACTTAAAATAACAATTTTATTTCTAAGCTAAATAAGATGAAAGTTTTATTTTTAAACTAAATTAGATGAAAGTCTTATTTTAAAGCTAAATAAGATGAAAATTTTATTTTTAAGGTACATACAATGACAATTTTATTTTTAAATTAAATAAGATGAAAGTTTAATTTTAAAAACACAAATGCACGACATTGACTACAAGAAAGTCTATGCACCTGTTGCTTGCATGGAGATGATCCGTCTATTGATCTCATTGGCAACACAAATAAAGTGGAAAATCGATCAACTAGATGTCAAATCTATATTTTTGAACTTTGTGTTCAAAAATCATGAAGATAAGGCGTTGATGTTGAAGCAAAGTCTTATATAGGTTGAAGCAAGCTCCACGAGCTTGGAATAGTCGCATTGACCAATACTTTAAAGAGAATGGGTTTACTCGTTGTCTCCATGAATATACTTTTTACATTAAAGTTCATACTGACAGAGATATTCTGCTTGTTTGTCTTTTTGTTGATGACCTCATCTGTTTGAAGCTTTCAAGAAATCTATGTCCCTTGAGTTCGAGATGACGGACATAGGGTTCACGTCATAATATTTTGGACCAAGAAGTGAAGCAAATGGAGGAAGACATCTTCATATCTCAAGAAAGCTATACAAAGGAGATTTTGAAGAAGTTCAACATGTTTGATTGTAATCCTGTAAATATCCCAATGGAAAGTGGAACAAAATTGTCAAGTTTGATGATATAGAAAAGATGGACTCCACTATGTTCAAAAGTTTCATAGGAAGTCTGAGGTACTTGACATGTACGAGATCAAATATACTCTTTGCGGTAGGAGTAGTAAGTCGCTTCATTGAAGCTCCTACCTCCACTCACTTAAAGGTCGCTAAAAGAATTCTTCATTAACTAAAAGGTACGATTGACCTTGGACTACTGTGATACTGATTATGCGGGGATGTTGATGACAAAAAAAATACATCGGATTTTGTGTTTTCCTTGGGTGATTGTGTTATTTCTTGAAGTTCAAAGAAACAATCAATGGTTACTCTCTCTACTTGTGAAGCTGAATATGTGACAGCGACATCATGTACATATCATGCTATTTGGTTGAGGAGATTGTTGAAGGAACTCAATTTACCGCAAATTAATGCAACAATGATTTGTGTTGATAACAAAGCTGCGCATACACTTTCCAATTGAATCAAGTGTACCAATATATTTAATTTTCTAGTACAAAAATACAGGGGGGTACGGAAAAGCTATTGGGTTCATCCGAATCCACGAACTGTTAGGATCAAAATAATTAGGTGTAATGCGGAAGCTAGCAAAGCAAACTTTGAAAGACCATGAGTAAGCAGGCAAACGGGAAATATACCAAAAGACAGAAAGATTTAACGTATTTCAGTCAATCAACCTACATCCACAAAAGAGATGAGCAATCCACTATAAATATGAAAGTATAAAATATAAAGAAAAAATAACATCAACCAATTCACTCGGAATACAAGGAGGTTCACAAATTCTCTCTCATAGCCAAAACTAACTCTCAAAACCATAGGACTACATTGTGAATGATGATTAAGTTAGATGGACAAGCATATATTTATAGAGTCCTAAGCTTTTTCCTACAAGAAAAAGACTAGTCAAATCTTAAATCTTTTCCTTAAAAACAACTTATTTATGATAAGAAAGTCAAGGCAAATAAAACCAACACAAACCCCACCTACCTCTGCATAACAAAACAAAAGTTGGCCTTCCCAGTGGACGGAATATTATAAGACTTGGTGTCTCGAGAAAACCTTAAAGCTTAATTACGTCCTACTTGGGCAATGGACATTAATAATGCAACAACTCTTAAATGACAATGAAAAGAAAGAAAAGCTCCTTATTTCCAAATTCCAATCGAAGTTAAGTTCTTCATTGCATTGTTTTCCATCATCGATCCACACCCATTAATTCTTGCAGAAAGCCTCTTCTTAGCTTGTCATCATAACTCATTAAATCAGGAAACAAGTGTAGAAATTATATATTTCTTGTATATATTGACACATTATTCCAGGCAATCATTTTCCTATCATCTCGTTGATTTCCGTTTTTGATTATTGTTTATATTATAGCATAGGTAGTATATAGCACTATATATAGTTTGATGAGTTGAGACAGATAAAGAAGATTACAATCATGCATGCAGCATTAATAAATTAAAAAAAAAGAAAGTATTAATGAATGATCAATATAATGTTCCCGGTCGTCTATATATATATATATATGTATATGTGTGTGTGGAATATTTAACAATAGGCATGTAATATTTGAAATTATCTTCCTCCAAGGCCAAGGTAAAAAGGTGCACCAGTGTGCCTCAACCAAAGATATCCATTAATCCAGCGGTCGACTGTATATTGAACAGCTTCAACTGGGTTAATAAGACGGAAGTTCTTGAAGCTCTTGTTCCTGTTATTGATGTTTGCACCCGGTCCGCGGTTGGCAAACTCGTAGTAATTACATGTCCGCTCGAATGATTGTCCTTGCCATATCATCCAACCTTCTGGGCGGATGAAATCACCCAATTCGCTCTCCATGAATACAGTCGTTGCGTAAGGCTTCCAGGGACGGCCCAAGTATGTTGCCAGCTTGAACCTATCTGCAAACAATTCCCTTTCTGGAACGATTCTGCAGTTCTGGAACACCAAACCACCTGGTTTGTTCGCTATTTCTTTGCCATCAGCGGTGATCGTGTTGAACTGGCTGTCCAAAGGTCTCCTCGCTATGATCAAACTATTTTGGATTACTGCTGACCCCCTTCCAAAGATGAAATCTATCGTACCAGATATGACACAATTGCGATAAAATTGGCGATGGTTTTGATAGTACAAGGTGTCTTGATAACCTTCAATGCTGCAGTCAAAAACAGCAGCCATATCACCGTTAATTCGAAGAGCCACAGCTTGGTGACCTTGTGGACCAGCAGTGTTGCGGAAGGTAATTCCCCTAGCAACGAATCCATTGCCAAGAACAGCTGCATGCCATTTAATGAATTAATTAATTACATAAATAATTAATCATCATCGATCATAATAGTATATAAATAAATATACTTACCAAAAGTAGCAGTGTCTTGGGTGGGTATATTCATGATACCAAAGTTTCTATGTCCAGTGATAATGGTTTTCCCTGCTCCATCGCCATAGATGAAGACGTTTGGTTGCTTCTTAGAGATGATGACATGCTCGTCATAGATTCCAGCTTTGACATAGACTATGTATTTGCCTCTATGGTTTTTAGGATAGGCAGCGAGGGCAGCAGCGACGGTGTTGTACTGACCACTGCCATCCTTGGCGACCACTGCATGAGGAGCTGCCCTATGTCGTCCTCCTGCTAAAAGCTTACGGTCGGCAACAGGGAACCAGGTAGGGTAACCAAGGAGGCGACGATGACTAGATGTTGATGTAGTTATGGTGCTTGAGATGTTGAAGGCTTGGAGGACGGTTGAAATCTTTGCTACAATGTTGATTGCATTGTGTGTGAGTTGGGTTGCATTCCGCATGCCATTTTCTAAGGCTTCTTTGTAATCAGGCTTATCGATTATACCATCGAGACACATGCTTTGATAGGAGTAGACCGCACCGAGCCAGTTCAATAGTTCGCTTACACGATCCCCAAGGGAATGCAATGCGGTATCCCCAACCATAGAGTAGGAGTCGTGGAGTTCCTCCACCGCATATTGCAACAACTCTTTGCAATCCTCTACTGCCATGTGATTGTACGGATCTGTTTTATTATCGATAGGACTACCCTTTTCCACCACCGCTAAAGATTTCTTTATTTCATCCCCTGTCACTTGCAACGAAGCTAACAGGTAGTCTTTCATCGTAGCACTATCGTTCTTAGACACTGCATCAAGGCTCTTAAAACAAGCTATTTCGAATTCCGCAGGTTTACAGAACTCCACAATCGATGCCTTCATTTGGACTTTCGGATTTTGTCCCGACCCTTTGTGCACCACGATCGCCACTCCCAATACGACACCCACCACAAGAAACAACGATACCAAAGAAACCACTATTTTCCCCACCATCTTAAATATCGAATTAATTAATTCTTATATTCCACCGGGACAAAATGCATGCATGTATTAATAAAGAAAAATAAAAAACAACTAATGGCGCCCGCGGTTAGAGGTTATTCCTCTAATAGGTTACGCTAGCTAGTCGTTTCTACAAACTGAACATGCATATATAATTAAGAAGAAGATGATGGATGAATTAACCATCATGTCATGAGCAGCTTTATATAGAAGAGAGAGAATATGATTGTACCGACGATTGTGCTCCATTCACTTCGTGGCCATCCATCCATTGTATTGAATAATGGTGAACCACTAATTAGGAACCGCCGAATTAGTGGATTTCATTTTTTTTTTAAAATAGAGCATCAATAAATTTATAGAGTAGTAATTTAGTTCGTGATACACAACTTTTTATATGTAGTTGATTACTCCTATCCATGTTTTGGTTATAACTATTTTCTGCATTTTTTGTTAAATTTCACTGAGAAATACTTATTTAATAAAACTCATTTGCACTTCGTTCTTCTCGCAAGAAAATTGCAGTCTGTGTTTCAATTTTGTAATTAATTTTTATAGCTTATTTTGATAAATTTGTGCTAAGCTTAAAAATGCAACCGTCTTAACCAAAAAAGAGTAGTATCAATGAAAAATAAAAGGGATACAAATCACGAGTACACATTGAGAATATGCTTGCTAAGGAGCCTTGCTCAGCTAATAGTTGTCATATTTTTCTTTCAGATTTTTGACAAGTTCACTTTATGTTCTAGGGTATTTCATTTCGGACCAAAATATATCCAACTTTTTAAACTATCAAAACAGATTTGTCTGTCACCACTGCCGAATTGGTCGACGAGATAGTATTTGATGCAGCTTAACGACTTAGTTTCATCAGTTTACGCGAGTGAAGGGTAAAAAACTGCTTTCAAATCAGGACTTGGTTGAGCTCGCCACACTTCCAGATCAAGATTATGATTGAAAAAACTTAAAAGAGAATGATGCCACATTTATTTATATATATATATATATATATGATGCCGAACCCAAACCAAACAAACTACTGTTTGGTATTCGTATATACATTCAAACCGAACCAATAGTACCGAATGCCCACCCCTTGCAGCAGGGCAGTGACTTCCCGATTCCAACACAACCCTGTTTTTCAGCTATCAAAATTGCATATTTTCTCAGTGTCACCAACCAACAGAAAGGAAGTAAATGAAACAAAAGAACAAAGGAGACGAATAAAGCAAATACTTATGACATCATCAATCCCATTCAGTATCCCACAACTGTTTGGATTCAAATAGTATGTCAATGTTATAGCACACAAACACAATCCCTTAAGTGCAAGGACACCTGGAACTATTTCCATCGGGCATGCATTTATCAGTCTGTTATATCCCTCATACCAAATCCGTGATCAATGACAAATGAATCCATTGCTCAACTGAGCATGCTGCATACAAATTTTCCATCGGGCACCACTAGCTTCTCCCCTTTAATGACTGTATCTAGTGGTAGTGGGCTGAAACTCCGAGATGGGCCATAAAAATGAGGAAAGACATTTGTGTCACCGACAGCTTCATAAGCCAACCCATTCCCAAGCTGCAAAAAAAAAAAAAACCCATCATAACAGGGGAACTTCTCTCATCTGTTGATCAAACATATCATATTTCGATTAGAAAAGCCAAATAAATCTTGATTGTATTATCAAATATGATGATCAACATGCCCAAGAGGAAAGAAATACTGGTTCTTATAAATGGTGAAGTCAAGAAGGCAATGCGACTAGCCTTTTTAGCATCGATTTGCAGCAAGTACAAATCATCCTTAACGTTCAAGAAGAAGTTCAGAAAAGTTGGTTGAACCTGCAAGTTCCAAATTTTCAAGTCAGAGTGATGACAAACGAACTCAACTAAATGCAATCCAATTAACTGTTCTCTAAAATATGCTAAGTTGCAACTAAAATATTCAATTAGATCATTTTTTCCACAATACGTTAAGCATATCTAACAACAATTGAACAATTGATTTCTTACATGATTTAATGATCTCTAACTAATTATATTCTGGAAGTACTTCATTTAAACATGTATAAATTCCTAAAGATAGCCCTCTTTTCTTCTTTTTCCCGTCAGGAGTTTTGATTTTGGGTGATTGTTGAGACCACAAATGCTAAATCATGAAAGTATTCCCTACTTCTTTAACTTGCATGTCATAATAATTTTACATACTTTTCAAGAGAAAAACACTTGCAATTTTATTAATTAGGAGTTCAAAACATAAAGTGCGCTATAACAGGTGCTTCCCAAAGTAAAGGAAATAGATAAATGGGCACCTGAGGCAGTAAGAACTTGAAAACTATATATCAAGTGCGAGGTATAGTCTCATGGAGGCGATTTATTAATCAACAAACAAGTAGCTCGAGACTAATTTAAAGTTCTTTTGCATTCACTTGGTTAAAACTAGACACTAATTCATGATTAAACATGAAAAATAGGGGAATCCAAACAGCCATAACTCGGGCCTCGGATGTTCGTTTCAGGCAATTTTATTTTTCAACCTGTGTATTTTTTCGAGATCTACGGAACAAAATTGCCGTAAGGCGGTTTGAGCGAGCCGATTTTTCAAAAAACGTCTTTTACTCATTCTTATATTAGTAGAAATATGATGAGAAAAAAAAAAAGCAAATTCAAATAGAGGAGATGACTTTTTCAAATAGATCTCGAAAAAATACGAGGGATCAAAAAAAAAATTGCGTCAAACGGACATCCGAGCCCAAAGATACGATCATATGAAAATTCAACATCTTAAAAATTGAAGGTAGCTGTGAATTTGGAAAACTTCAAACGGCCATAACTCGGGCCTCGGATGTCCGTTTCAGGCCATTTTTTTTTCAACCTGTGTATTTATTCGAGATCTACGCAACCAAACTGTCGTAAGGTGGTTTGAGCAAGCCAATTTTACAAAAAACGTCTTTTACTCATTCTTATATGAGTAGAAATACGATGAGAAAATAAAAGAAAATTCAAATAGAGGGGATGACTTTTTCAAATAGATCTCGAAAAAATTTGAGGAATCAAAAAAAAAAAATTGCGTCAAACGGACATTCGAGCCCAGAGATACGATTATTTGAAAATTCAGCATCTTAAAGATTGAAGGTAGCTGTGAATTTGGGAAACTTCAAACGGCCATAACTCGAGCCTCGGATGTCCGTTTCAGGCAATTTTTTTTTCAACCCTTGTATATTTTCGAGATTTAAGCAATCAAACTGCCATAAGATGGTTTGAGCGAGCCGATTTTTCAAAAAACGTCTTTTACTCATTCTTATATAAGTAGAAATATGATGAGTAAAAAACAAGAAATTCAAATAAAGGGGATGACATTTTCAAATAGATCTCGAAAAAATATGAGGGATCAAAAAAAATTGCGTCAAACGGACATTCGAGCCCAAAGATACGATTATTTGAAAATTCAGCATCTTAAAGATAAAAGGTAGCTGTAAATTTGGGAAACTTCAAACGGCCATAACTCAGGCCTCGGATGTCCGTTTCAGGCAATATTTTTTTTCAACTTATGTATTTTTTCGAGATTAACGCAACCAAATTGCCGTAAGGTGGTTTGAGCGATCTGATTTTTCAAGAAACGTCTTTTACTCATTCTTATATGAATAGAAATATGACGAGAAAAAAAAAAGAAATTCAAACAAAGGGGATGACTTTTCCAAATAGATATCAAAAAAATACGAGGAATCAAAAAAAAAATTGCGTCAAACGGACATTTGAGCCTAAAGATACGATCATTTGAAAATTCAGCATCTTAAGGATTGAAGATAGTTGTGAATTTGGAAACTTCAAACAGCCATAACTCGGGCCTCGGATGTCCGTTTCATGCAATTTATTTTTTCAATCTGTGTATTTTTTCGAGATCTACGCAACCAAACTGCCATAAGGCGATTTGAGAGAGGCGATTATTCAAATAAAGGGATGAGTTTTTCAAATAGATCTCGAAAAAATACGAGGATTCATACAAAAAATTGCGTCAAACGGACATTCGAGCCCAAAGATACGATCATTTGAAAATTCAGCATCTTAAAGATTGAAGGTAGCTGTGAATTTGGGAAACTTCAAACGGCCATAACTTGGGCCTCGGATGTCCGTTTCCGGCGATTTATTTTTTCAACCTATGTATTTTTTCGAGATTTACGCAACTAAACTGCCGTAAGGCGATTTGAACGAGCCGATATTTCAAAAAACGTCTTTTACTCATTCTTATATGAGTAGAAATATGATATAAAAAAAAGGAAATTCAAATAAAGGGGATGACTTTTTCAAATAGATCTCAAAAAAATACGAGCAATCAAATTTTTTTTTGCGTCAAACGGACATTCGAGCCCAAAGATACGATCATTTGAAAATTCAGCATCTTAAAGATTGAAGGTAGCTGTAAATTTGGGAAACTTCAAACGGCCATAACTTGGGCCTCGGATGTCCGTTTCCGGCGATTTATTTTTTCAACCTATGTATTTTTTCGAGATTTACGCAACTAAACTGCCGTTAAGGCGATTTGAACGAGCCGATATTTCAAAAAACGTCTTTTACTCATTCTTATATGAGTAGAAACATGATGAGAAAAAAAAAAGGAAATTCGAATAAAGGGGATGACTTTTTCAAATAGATATCGAAAAAAACGAGGAATCAAAAAAAAAATTGCGTCGAACGGACATTCGAGCCTAAAGATACGATCATTTTAAAATTCAGCATCTTTGAGATTGAAGGTAGCTGTGAATTTGGGAAACTTCAAACGGCCATAACTCGGGCCTCGGATATCTGTTTCAGGCGATTTTTTTTTCAACCTGTGTAATTTTTCGAGATCAACGAAACCAAACTTCCGTAAGGCAGTTTGAGCGAGCCAATTTTTCATAAAACGTCTTTTACTCATTCTTATATGAGTAGAAACATAATGAGAAAAAAAAAGGAAATTCAAATAAAGGAGATGACTTTTTCAAATAGATATCGAAAAAAACGAGGAATCAAAAAAAAAATTGCGTCGAACGGACATTCGAGCCTAAAGATACGATCATTTTAAAATTCAGCATCTTTGAGATTGAAGGTAGCTGTGAATTTGGGAAACTTCAAACGGCAATAACTTGGGCCTTGAATGTCCGTTTCCGGCGATTTATTTTTTCAACCCAGGCCTCGGTTGTCCGTTTCAGGCTATTTTTTTTCAACCTGTGTATATTTTCGAGATCTACGCAACCAAACTTCCGTAAAGTGGTTTGAGTGAGCCGATTTTTCAAAAAACATCTTTTACTCATTCTTATATGAGTGAAAATATGATGAGAAAAAAAAAAGGAAATTCAAATAAAGGGGATGACTTTTTCAATTATATATCGAAAAAATACGAGAAACCAAAAAAAAAATTGCATCAAACGGACATTTGAGCCCAAAGATATGATTATTTGAAAATTCAGCATCTTAAAGATTGAAGGTAGCTGTGAATTTGGGAAACTTCAAACAGCCATAACTCGGGCTTCGGATGTCCGTTTTAGACGATTTTTCTTTTCAACTCGTTTAATTTTTCGAGATCTACGCAACCAAACTACCGTAAGACGGTTTGAGCGAGCCGATTTTTCAAAAAACGTCTTTTACTCATTCTTATATGAGTAGAAATATGATGAGAAAGAAAAAGGAAATTCAAATAAGGGAGATGACTTTTTCAAATAGATCTAGAAAAAATACGTAGATTCAAAAAAAATTGCATCAAACGGTCATTCGAGCCTAAAGATACGATCATTTGAAAATTCAGTATCTTAAAGATTGAAGGTAGTTATGAATTGGGGAAAACTTCAAAACGGCCATAACTCGGGCTTCGGATGTCCATTTCAGGCAATTTTTTTTTCAACCTGTGTATTTTTTTTAGATTTACACAACCAAACTGCCGTAAGGAGATTTGAACGAGCCGATTTTTCAAAAAATGAGTTTTACTCATTCTTATATGAGTAGAAATATGATTAGAAAATAAAAAGGAAATTCAAATAAAGGGGATGACTTTTTCAAATAGATATCGAAAAAAACGAGGAATCAAAAAAAAAATTGCGTTTTTTGCGTCAAACGGACATTCGAGCCCAAAGATACAATCATTTGAAAATTCAGTATCTTAAAAATTGAAGGTAGCAGTGAATTTGGGAAACCTCAAACGGCCATAACTCGGGCCTCGGATGTCTGTTTCAGGCGATTTTTTTTTCAACCTGTGTATTTTTTACAAGAAACATCTTTTACTCATTCTTATATGAGTAAAAATACGATGAGAAAAAAAAAAGAAAATGAAAATAGAGGGGCTGAGTTTTTCAAATAGATCTCGAAAAAATTTGAGGAATCAAAACAAAAAATTGCGTCAAACGGACATTCGATCCCAGAGATACGATTATTTGAAAATTCAGCATCTTAAAGATTGAAGGTAGCTGTGAATTTGGGAAACTTCAAACGGCCATAACTCGGGCTTCGGGTGTCCGTTTCCAATTATTTTTACAACCTGTGTATATTTTCGAGATTTACGCAATCAAATTGCCGTAAGATGGTTTGAGCGAGCCGAGTTTTCAAAAAACGTCTTTTACTCATTCTTATATGAGTAGAAATATGATGAGAAAGAAAAAGGAAATTCAAATAAGGGAGATGACTTTTTCAAATAGATCTAGAAAAAATACGTAGATTCAAAAAAAATTGCATCAAACGGTCATTCGAGCCTAAAGATACGATCATTTGAAAATTCAGTATCTTAAATTATTTGAAAATTCAGCATCTTAAAGATAACAGGTAACTGTAAATTTGGGAAACTTAAAATTTCCATAACTCAGGCCTCGGATGTCCGTTTCAGGAATTTTTTTTTTCAACTTGTGTATTTTTTCGAGATTAACCAACCAAACTGCCGTAAGGTGAGTTAAGCGATCCGATTTTTCAAGAAACGTCTTTTACTAATTCTTATATGAATAGAATTATGATGAGAAAAA